TCTCCTCCTATTTAGAAGCAACTTCGATGCAAAGGTGCTTAACAATTTGCACAAAGCCCACCAGGGCAAGTTTATAAAGAGACACAAATCATGATACAAAAGGCCAGATGTGCCAGCTGGTTACATAGAAAGATCCTTCAAATTCCCCCAAATTCTCCTCCCCCCCCTTTGCATTCCATCTCCTTGTCAAGGTGAGAGCCTGGGAGAAAACGCTGACCTACTGCGCCAAAGATTTGCACAGGCCCAACTCTGGAAAACCAACCCCCGAGGGGGCCTAGGACACCTCGCCACAGCCAACCCACCACGGAACAACTCGCCGTGGGACAAGAGTGCCACTAATATTGAAGAAATAGTCAAATGGAATTATTAAAGAAAGGACGCCAAAGGAGGGACAAAATAAAATATGAATGACTAAAATTAAAATGATTTTTAACATTATTTGAAATAATTAAATTGTTGAAGTGAGTTGGCTGAGGGAGTGGTCCATTTCCACTCCCGAGGAGCCCAGGAACAACTGGATCTGATGGTGCTGCTTCTTCCCCCAGCCTGGAAGCAAAAGAGTCCTAAAGCCAACCTAAGCGGGGAATTGATGTTCAAGGCCTTGTTAAGGCCTTAATCTTTCTTTCCAGAAAGGAGTACATAACTAGTTGCTGTAATATTTTAATTCTTTTTACAGGAGCAGTTAATATTGCCGTCAACTCACTGGCTTTATCCTCTGTTACATTTCCTATTTCAAAGACGGATTTAAGTCCATGAGGAAAAATACCCTTATTGTTTAAATTTCCCTCCTGAGCTGCAGGCAAATTGTACCCACTTGTATTTTATGATGTTTAGATAATTAAAAGGAATCCTCCCCAGAGTTAGCAACAAGATTGTGACTGACTAGCACACACTCCTGTACAAAAGGGGTCTTTTTAAAGGCTGGCCATTTTCCTGCCATTAACATGCCAAGTGCCGTAAATTCCTATGCACTGTTCAGGCTCCAGGGAAAAGTGGAACCTTTTGCAACCTTTACAGGATTCTGAATGCGCCAGAGGTTACTGAAAACAGCTCCTATTTATGCCCGTTTGCCAATACGGGATATAACTCCAATGTCGAATGTGGGGAATATTCCTAGTGCCATTGCATTTAATTACAGTAAAACACAACAGCAACAGCTTAAGTGAATAAAGGTCCCAAAGAGACTCCATGGCCATTTCCCCCCATATGGATTAAAGCATCCTTTCCCGCGTCTTGTTGCAGCACAAACTCAACTCCACCCTCAAACTGGACATCCGCCCCACCAATCCTTGTACTGATTTGCACTGATGTAATTCCCTGAACTGCAAGGCATACAGATAATCCTTGTTTAGCGACTACCTCAGTCAGCAACCATTTGCAATTATGAGATAATAAACCAGGAACTTTGCAATAATCATATATGTACAGCCTCTGCAGTATCTCAATCACGTGTTTACTATGACAGGGGCCTGACCAGTTCTCCCCCCCCCCCAGCAGCAGACAGTTTGCCTATACAAGCTATTTCTTGAGGCACTTTTCCCTACAGAGCAGGAAGTCCCTAAAATGTATTTACTGAAAGTTAACAAGCTTAGTTTGCTGACCTTAATTAGTTGACTTAATACCCTCCTGCCAGCTCTAAGATGCTGCTTGACATCAAGATCCTAATCAGTTCAGCTTTTTTGCTTCTTAGGTAGCATGCTAGGCAAATGGCCAGCACAAATAAGTTGCTCTATGTATCTCATTGTGTGGCATGCTTGTTCTCTTGTAATCCCTTTCTCTCCAATGAATGAAAACGCTAATATCAATTCGCCTCTTGCTAATAATCCCAGCACTGGGATGAGCACACCAAGAGTGAGGGGTGTTGGGGAAAAGAGCTATAAGATTTGCCCTTTTATACAGCTTTCTCGTGAGTCCATTTCCAAAAACCTTTCTTGCCATTTGGGTTCACCTGGCTGTTTCGGAGTGTATCCTTCTGATGCTATAAAACAAAGTAGAGATAAAGTTGTGTGTGTGTCTTAATGCGAGGGCCTCTTTATGCAGCTTGGCAATTTAGACTTAATAATCCTTTTTTTAAAAAAAAAAAATTCAGCCCATGTGCTTTCTGAAACACCCAGGAAGATAGCTAAATCTTGTATTATTGCCTTTAGAAGGCTAACTATTTTGATTTTGTTTCATCTATTTTCCCCTATCTTTAGTATATTCCATTTTGATGTTATTACTTGGTTTATGGGGAACGGGAATATATAATTTGTTATTCAGTTTCAGAGTGTAAAGAAAACCTTTACCATTATTTTCTAGTAAAACCTGTCCCCAGTTTGCTAAATGGTCCAGTAAAATACTATGATCTGTTATCTATAATATAAGGAATTTACATTATTATTATTTCTAAAAAAAAAATTAAACCAGGGTGTCAGTGGGCATCAAGATACAAGTCCTAGGCACCTGGAGCCCTTCTGCACTCTTGGGGGCCTAAGAATGACACGATACAATGGAACAAGAGTTCAGAAATTAAAGGGCTTTGCCTTCTACCACAACTTCTAGCTGGCTTCAGATAGTTTAAATTGTTTTTATTTCCCTCTAGCTGTGTTGACCAAAATCTCCCAGCCATCCTAACCAATGTCAGCTGGAAACCCTGGGAGGTCTAATCCAACAAAACTAGATGGTGTTACAACCCTGCACATTTTTTTTTCCCTAACCCAGTGGTTCTCAACCTGTGGGTCCGGACCCCATTTGGGGTCAAACGACCATTTCACGGGAGTCGCCAAACAACGCAGTCCGCCATTTTTTTCCCCCTTTTCCTTAGCTGTGCTACTCCCTTTTATTCTATTGGCTTTTGAAAGCCAATAGAATAGACTCTCTTGAATAGAGTCTAATTCTATTGGCTTTCAAAGCCAATAGGAATTGTTCAGGCTGTCTCTGCCCTGCGGAGCCCGCCAAAAGTCCCATTCTGCAAACGGTGCTGCACCGGTTGAGTAGTCCTCGACTTACGACTGGTTGGGGGTCGCGGCATTAAAAAGGTTGAGAACCACTGTCCTAACCACAATGCCAACAATGTGCATCATGGCTCCACATATAAGTTCTGCCCTTTCTTTCTCCCAGTGGCAATGCATGCAAATAGACTTAGAGACAGGGCTAAACTGCAACGCAGGTTTTGTTACTTGCACCTCCCTCCGGCCCCAGATCTCGGCTTCTCCCCTAAGGACTTCCTCCTAAGGGCCTTGTCCCCTCAACTCACCGGGGTAGTCTCCTTTCCGGCCTCTCTGTACACTGGGGAGACAGACATGAAGTCAAGCTTTCTCCTTAGAAACATTTCGACTATGAAACTCTTCCTCAGTTTTTTTACAGCTTCCTCATAGATGCAATTTCTAAGCAAGTGGAAATAGCACTTTAGCACCGGCCCTGGGGCAAATGAACAATGTAGTATTTCCTAGGGCAACTGGGAAGCTGATTTTCTGGTTCTAAAGTTGTCTGGTAAAAAAAGCGATTTTCACATACAGTACTAAACTGTCACTTCTTTGCTTTCACTTCATGTGATCTGCAAACAGATCCTGAGTGATTTATGTGGTTTGAGCAAGGATGCTATAGTCTGCTAAACCACAACTTAGCCCCTTGCCAATGCAGACTTCAGGAAAAACAAACACAGCTATGGGAAATTCAGCTCGTAATTCAGCTCGTAAGTTAACCCCCCCCCCCTTTTTAGCCTTGATATTAGAAATAAACATGGAAATTAAGTGGCTTCATTTTAAATAGTTATATATTTCCAAGCTTCATAGATTCCTAGTTCAAAGCTTGCCTCCACCATGTATGTCAGTTCTAACGACTAGCCATTCAGATCACATTCCTGCGATAATGTGATAATGCTTAACTACTTGTCAGTAATACAACAGTGAACATTACACAACTGAATATGAAATACTCTCATTTTTTCCCACTGAGGCAAATACACATCAGTCTCCCATACAACAAACAAAATCTGGGAAGAAGATTTTGATGAAAGCAAAGGATTGGGAATTTACACAAGAATTTTCCCTAGCATGGCAGAGGACTTTAGTACGAAGATGGCCAATTTAAAGTTTGAGAGATTAATTTAAAACATAGCAATGGACCACAAAGACAAAAACTCAGGTAACAGTGAACAGAACTCCTGCTATTGAGTAGAGAAGTCGAATGAAGCAGCTCAGAGTTAAATAGTGACCTAACTTGGTTTGTTCCTGGTTTCCACCCTGGTTAATAAAGTTGGAGACAAACTCACATGTAATTAGATCAGCTACAGCTGTCCAAAATTAGAGGGAAAATACTACTAGTCATCAAGGCTTGGTCTCTTATGTCTAAGATTAGACAAGGTGGCCATTCATACCCATGATCAATTCAGGGATGGAGCTCATATTCTGTAGCTGTAGGTTAATTTAATGGCTAAAAGAACAACAAACAAACCACTTCTTCCTTTTGCCACAAATTCTCTAGTTACTCTTGACTTCATGGCTTATAGCAGTTGGGAAGTCTCACAGGCTATCAAGCTAGGTAACGCATAAGAATCTCTAGGCCAGGGGTCTTCAAACTTGGCTCTTTTATGACTTGTGGACTTCAACGCATGCCTGTGGGAGTTGAAGTCCACAAGTCATCAAAGGGCCAAGTTTGAAGACCCATACTCTAGGCACTAGCAGAAATACTAATTTGATTATTATTTTCAAGATATCAGCTTCAGCAGAATTAATTTACTCCCCCTTGTTGTGGACCATGAACTCTTGTGCACATCTAATCTAAATTCAAGACTGGCTGCTACAAAGGACTACAGCAATGATGTCAAACAATGCCTAGTTACTTCAAGTGAGTCCCCAGAGTGGACCTGGGCAGCTTAAGCAAATTGTACGGATTAACTGGAACACCTGAACACTGAAAAGGCTACGATGCCCTGAGAGTAACAGGCAGCTTTACAAGGAAATCTGAAAGGGTGGTTTCAGCTTTATATTTCAATAACTTAACATATCTGGAGGCACAAGCATGTGTATATTTGTTTATTCATAATTCTGAATTGCCTTGGGATACCAAAAGTCATTCTAATTAAGCTGATTTAACAAAATTGCTGGCCTCGCTTTTCAGAACAATCCATTGATCCGTTTTGTTATTTCAATGGGCTACCATGTGTTAAAAGAAACATAACATGCACACATGTGTACAGGTTTCATAAAGTCTATTTCATTATTTGTGGGTACCGCATCCAACAGTTAAATACATTTAAATAATGTATTACGTAGTTACTGCACTAATGCAGAATTGAGAACTAGATAGAGAACCAATTTAACTAAAACCAGCTAACAAGGAACTGCCTAAATATCCTTAATACAGCTCTTGTTCTAGGGCATCCCACTGAGGAGGGAAAAAAACCCTCCGAGTCATACTGGAATTACAATTTTAAGGCCATATTCTTCCGATATCCCATGTTCTGCAGCAGTTGTCTTCTCGCCTTTAAGCCTCCAATTCCAGGCCAAGGCCAAGTTTATGTCCACCAGCATTGATGTTCTTCCCATCGACTAGAGCAGACAGCGTGAGCTTCACACCTGCAGGGAGAGCACAAGTCAAAGCAGGTTTCATCACGTTGAACTTTCCCTTAGCAGAGGCAGTTGCCCAAACCTGCCAGTCTACTCCCTCCACCAGTTCACCCTTCTGGCCTCCCCCCCCCTTTGCTGAGAGAGAGAGAGAGAGAGAGAAACAAAACACACTATCACTTTATGAGGATACAAAAGAGTTGTTTGAAAGAATTCCAGCTCTTCAGTTATCAATAAGATGTTCTCCTGCCAACGTATTTATTTACCAAGCTTTACATACTACTGATGGAGGACCCTGGCAGTTTTACGAAAAAGAATTATGACCTCAGTTCATTGAAGGAGGTATCTAGGACTATGTGACCAAAACTTTTAAGAGATTCACTGCTGGCTTGTATAAACCACACAACCCCCCCAAAAAAAGAGGAGGAGGAAGAGGAGGAAGGGCCAAAAAAATGTTTAAAATGAAGTGGGATATTTACAGTTATTTTACAAATTTTTGAGCATGAATCAGCACTTCAAATTCTAAATGTTTTATGAATCATTTATTAGAAATGTAAAAATTTGGGAAAACTTTGAAGCAATGAAGCAACAAATAGCTTAAGCCTATTTGTAGGTTAACAACTATTTTGCCTCAATATTGGTTAACATCTATAACCAGTTTGTCAAGAGCTTCTCAAGCGCCGTCTCATCTTTTAGCCCACACTTACCTGGCCTCAGGGACTGGGTGTAGCCGATTCCAATTAGACTAGAGTTGTTCACTTTTGTCTGCAAAGCAATGACAAACAGAGTAACGTCCTTCTTTCAGTTCTATCACATTTAAAGTAACTACAGAATCCATACGTCTCGTAAACTTTGAGCCAGTTAAATACCATTCTATATTAATTCCAAGCCAGTATTATTCCTGGGGTTGTTAATAATGTCACCTGGACTGAGGCCAAACCTACCCTGGGGTGTATATTCTCAGGTTCCCATTCATTTCTATGGATATCTTTGTTCCCATTAGTACGAGAGCGGCAGGCCTCATCATGGTGTTTATCAATGGGTCAGTTCCTATTGGGTTAAAGCCTGATTCTTCCCCTCTTTGTAGTGATATAAGTCACACCAGATGACGCTCCTGAAAGTCCTCAAGCAGGCTGACCAGCAAGCCACACACATTCAAAGTTTCCAGGATAGAATTCCCAGGATGGAAATTTCTGCTTTTCCTCTGCCTGGCCCATGCTTATCCCGTTGTTATGGGAATGGTTTGATAGTTTTCCAAAGCAAATTTTTTCAGAACAGGAAGTGGTTTAATGGGCAAACTATTCCATCCACCCAAACTCTCACTTTATAGTTAGTAGTCCACACTGAAGGACAAAATCTAAAAGTTAGCCATAGTTTGTTTAAATTATAAAGTCTTAGAATACACAAAGCAACAAACCTGCCTTCTGCAACATACACCTGCAAAGAAAAAAGGAGCTGTTCCAAGCACAAAAGAGTAGCAGACAATTTCGCTTCAATACACAGCGTAACTTTTCTTTTAAAGTAGGTTTCAAATCTCTGCTCGCGTTCTTACTCTACCTTTCCTCAAGTTGCTAACGGCAGGAGGGGTGTGCTTTATGTTTGCTACTTGATTTAATAGCGCACAAAGTTTCTATGCTTTTTTAAAAAGCCAATCACAGGATGGCTGTTTGAAACAATGTGGATCAAAATAACCGTATCTGTCCCAAGAAAAGTTCAGGGGATCCTGTTCTAAATTCAGGAAGGGAGCCTCCATTCTTCACTGAAGGTCAGTGTTTCCCAAACTTGACAATTTTAAGGCATGTGGACTTCAACTCCCAGAATTCCACAGCCAGCATTGCTGGCTGTGGAATTCTGGGAGTTGAAGTCCTCATGCCTTAAAATTGTCAAGTTTGGGAAACACTGCTGTAGGTAGCCCATGCTAATGGACCAAGCCAGCCAAACTCTGGTGTATAAAACAACCTTGAAATTAGTCCCCAACACCTGAACAGCAGGAGGAAGTAATAAAGCCCAGATCCTCTCCAGACCCAACACCGCCTGTCCACAATCTTAGCTCTGTACGTACAACCCCTTCTGCTGCTTCTTTTGGGCTCCAAGTCGTAAGGGGAGAGCAGATACAACGGACTGCCAAAAAGGCCGGTGCTTCTGATTCTCTGAAAGGGGAAGGGTGAATTGTAGGGGTTCAACAGGTGGTTGAAAAAGCACATACCCAAGGAAAGCCTGCAGATTTCAACCAGCCCGGCTAAGCCAAGTCTGAATCCTCCAATTTCAGATACTGAGCAGAAGCTGAGATGCTGGTGTGGAAACAGCTACAAGCTGCAGTTTTAAAAGGCTTCGTGAAGTCAGGATAGGCAGCCATAGGTTTTTGATGGCTAATCACGGCCACCCAAAAAACGCCTGACTCCTGTATAAAACAGGAGAAAATTCTGGCACAGCTTAATGGTAGCTCAAAATGGAGATGCAGACTTTAAAAAAAAACTTTTCTATTGCTTGAATTTACAATGGCAAATAGGCATGTTTAATTTATATACATTCAAGGATAAGGGCATACCTAAAGCGAGTCCACATTTCAGGAAATCTCAATTCAATGCTGCCAAATACCTGATACTTAAGCATTAATTTAATCTGACATCAATAGACACACAGAGGTAAGTCATATATGCACACCATTCAAAAAAGACAATGAAAAGCTAAGAACAAAAACCGAAACACACATCCTTTCCAGCAGCCTACACCCACAAGAGTAGGGATTAACGCCAGATGATCAAGCCGAAATATTCCATAATCAAGGAACCTCACCTTTATCCACACCAGGGGTCTTCAAACGTGGCCCTTTTATGACTTGTGGACTTCAACTCCCAGAATTCCTCAGCCAAGCACCACTCACTAACCCCGAAGTTAGCTACTCTAGTAATGAAACATATGCAAACAACCAAACTCAAAGACCCCACTTAACCTTTAGATGCCATTTTTATTGGTGACTGAGATTTACCAAATGCTTGAAAGATGCAGTGCCTTTAACGTCCATGTTTGTAATCAACGCTGCTTATTATAATTTTAGATAAATTCATGTTATTTCCACGTGACAAATATTACTCAGCTGAGGCCCAGCAGAGGTAAGAGAATGAAACAAGGAACTTTATTTTACAAAATAATCCCAAATCACCCAGAGCAGACTCTACTATCACTCCACTATCAATAATCCAAATCAAGATAGCCAAGCTCACAGGACAAGCCAAACTGTTTGTAAAACCCCGAGGTTTCCAGATACTAAATCTATGATTCAGTCCTTGGCGTCTTACAACTTTATATTCAAGCGTCTGAACTTATAAACCAAGGTTGGGAATTACATAAAATCAAGCACAAACCCTGGATGAGAAAGGCCTCCTGGCTGCTTCACGTCAGAATGGGGTCTTTTTTCAGTATGAATTAAAGAGGAATATCTGTCGGCCAGGGTTGAAATGAGGAATTCCTTAGAGGAATTCAGCCCTGGGGTTCTAATTAGTTTACTTACAGAAATGGATGCGGTGGGATCCAGCTGGTATTTTGCTGCAATTCCAAAACGAGTGCTATTGGTGCCAGATACCCAGTTAAGATTTATGGCAGTTTCAAGGTTCTCGCTGACCTTTTGATAGATGGAGCCGCCAAATTCGGAGCCATCGTTGCTGAAAAATATTTTAGCCACAGAAAGATATGATAAAACAAATTCAAATGTCAGAATTCCCGCAATTTCCCCTTTACCAAGTTATTCTAATTTTCTCCAGTAGCATGTCAGCTTTGAGGAAAAAAAAATACTGGCAAAATCTGTCCTAAGCACAGTTTATTAAAAACTGCTTTAGAATATTGCTGCAGTAACGGTAGTTTCCCAGAAACTCTACACAGATACACGTATCACACGTAGATCCGCTGCCAGGTTTTGCTAGAAAAACTGACAAAATAATTGTGCACACAGCAAATGCAAATAGGATGGAATAGATATATTTTCTATAGTCTATACACATATGTAAAACAGGAGAAAGAAGTCTTTTAGAAGGACAAAGGAAGAAACAGGTCTGAAAACACTCATCTCATGACTATGCCAAGGCCATGGACTTGTCCAGATATGTAAAGATCCATAAAATGGATCTTCACTGGGAGCAAAGCCCAAGGATATATATACACTAGAAATTAAATACAACGTTTTCCTTGTACAGGTAATGAGCTAAAACAGTTAGCTAGATTTTTTTAAAGATAAAAATAACCTTATTTTCTACAGGAACACTTTAATCTATTGAAGTAATTGAAATTGCTGTGTCAGTTTATTTGCCCAAGTATAAAAGCTTCAGCTGTTCAGGAATTCCCATGCAGCATATGAACATATCCATCAAATGAACAAACTTATAAAATTGGGCTAGAGCAAATTAAAATATGAAGAATTCCAGTCCATCATGAGAATATGCTACAATATGCAGATAACTGCTTCTTTCAGACCCCTTCTGCCACTAGTAAAAGCAAAATAACCACTTTAGCTTATTTCAAGGTTTGCTTACTGTGACAGGGAAAACTGCAGCTTGCTACCTTAATAAATTAAGAGTTAACACCCCAACTGCAATTCATATTCCTCAAAAATGTGTGTCACTTCTCTTTAAAAAAAATCTAGAAGTGGTCCACAATAAAGCATCAGTTTGAGGTAAAAGCTAAAGATCCCTTGTAAACAAACCACACAATGGGATTTCCCGTGGTTTATTTAGCTCCTCTGACACACGGGAACAGAGCAGTAATGTTGATCACCTCTTCTAATAATTAAGTATTCGGCAATTAATCCCCACCTACTATAGGCATATTCAAGGATATCCGCTCCAACAAACTGATCCATTCCCCCCCCCCCATGAGAGAGAGGTTTAATTTTCTGGATATCTTTGTGAGTAGCAATATAGTTTAAAACTTACACATTGGTGTGCAATTGGAAATCTCCGGTCTTGTAACCCACAGAGAAGTTGTTCCTTGTCAACTTGGATTTGGCACTATCAAAAGTCATCTGGTAGCCAGCGAGCCAGCCCTCGTAACCCAGGACGACGGAACCGTGGATGGCAGGTCCAGCAAAATCGAAGTCAACGTCACACCCAAGGTTTATGCATTCACGCTTATAAGCAGATTTGATTTTGCCACTTTTCTTTCTGCAAAGGACAAATTCCAGGGTAAGATTTACTTTCCCATCCGAAGGAACAAAATCCACGTCTTATCTTTAGCAGAGAAATAAGCTGGTGGATAAATAAGGCAGAACTGCCACCAAAAAGCAATGGCGGCAACGTCCTGAAGGGACAAGAAGGCAAAAAGATGTTAATTCAGTGCCCAAACCTTTCCAGATCTACAGGAAGAAATTAAAACTGAACAGAGTCCCATCCAGTTGTCACAACCGATTAAGCTGGATGAGACAAGGAATTCTACAAACAAACCCAGACAAAATTGTGCACCATTTATATAATATAAAAATAAATATGCGCCACTATTTCTCTTCATAAGCCAGGCAGCACTAAAACAAAAAATGTGAATTTAAGAAGCTGCACATCGACCCGAAATGTAGAAATCAAAGCAATTCAGACAGGCTTCTTTCCTTTTTCTTTTAACTCCCAAAAAGTGCACCACTACATCTTATATTAGAGGACAGGAAGACCTGGAGGAACATTGTCCATGGGGTCGCGATGGGTCGGACACGACTTCGCAATTAACAACAACAACAACATCTTATATCTACTTCTAGAGAAAGGAAACTGGGTATTTCAACTGGATGTAGAAATTTTCAGGAGTTAACATTAATGTCAGTTATGCACGATTAGGCATCAGTGTCTTGGATCAACTAATTTCTGACATAAAGTCAGTTTCTGCCTGAGGAAGCAGGCCTTAGGCCAAATAGCCACATGTGGCGTGAATATGATTTTAACTGTCATAAATAACGAGCCACTAACATTCTTTTCAAATCTTCCTTGCTAATCCTTTTCTCACGTTGGATGTTGCCTACCTGGAATGTGCCAAGACAGAGTAAACAGAGAAAACTCACCCAGTATTTGGTGAGAAAGTTGTATCAAATGTTAACTTCAAACCTTTGGCAATCTAGTTTAGGAGGAAAAAAAGAAGTTAGCTAGGAATTATTTGCATTTTTCTCTGAAAGATTTATAATCTTTCAACTCAGGCTACCTGATCTTCAATTGCCATTTCTGTTCCCAGAGTATTATCTGTGTTCCATTTTTCTGTGAAAGTCACACCATACTCAGCCCACTTGTATTTGGTCTCCAAGCTTCCATTCACTTTCCCCGTGTCTGTGTTTGATGAACCAGATGTTGCGAATTCCTAGCAAAGCAAGAGACACAAATGAAAAACGAGAGGCCGAGAGGAGGTATATTTTACCAATACTTTGATTCAATTCCATTTTATTTCAGCATCTTTTATTACAATTTAGTAACCATTCGGATGTGCACACAGTCGCCAGCCATTCCTGCGGCCCTAGTGGTCACACGGCCACGGACTGGTACTGGGCCCTGCACTATTATACTTAAGTACTTACCACTCCGCTTGTGGATTTAGTTTTCACATCCAATTTCACCAAGCCAAAACCTTGACAAAATAAAACTGAAGTCAATATGCCAATCTTTCAAATAATTAATACAATAGCCAAGGATTAACTTTAGAAATTTCACTGGTTCACTACTGCCCCTGTAACGAAGCTCTGACTTTAGAACTGAACACAGAAACAAAAACACACTTATTCTAACCAATAGAGAAAACAGAAAATTTAAGGTACTCAATATCCTATTTTCTCTTTAACTCCAAAACTGCTTCCAATGCAGCTGAGGGAATAAGCATTTAACTGTTTTGTTTGTTTTTAACTGGCAGATACATCTAGAATTTTGACGTTATCACCAACACTTGTAAAATGCCTGCAGAAGTGTGGCTAGACATAAACTAATTTACAAGGAACTTGATGTATTATAAAACACTCCCTACTATTATAGCTTAAAGTTGTCTTTTTTTAATTGGGTAGATGGCATACCCACAATTGTATATATTTTAAGGATGCCTGTGGAGCATCCACAATATGTGTACATTATGTATACTGTACATTGGCAGCATACACCTTTCCATTTATACATTTTAAACTAATTTTAAAGCAAAATAGATGAAGTGGGGATCCTGGCAAACCCTGAGGAATGTTTTCATGGGAATCGGATTACTTCATTCTTCTCTAACTGCTGACAGCTACCCTGCATACGTGAAGATGCAAATGCTTTTAATAGCACAGTGAAGACAGCTGTCTCCATATTGCATCATTAAAAAGACTTCCATTTGACAACAGATGTATATAATAAGCCCTACCCCCCCCTCAAAAAAAATTCCTCTAGGGTTCAGTGGTATTTGGAGAGTCCTTAGTCTTCTCTTTTGTCAGGCTGAAGCCCTCATTCAGGTAGAGATCTCCGAACATTAGGAATCTCATACCAACATTTTAAGACAAACAGATCAGTTTCTCACTCTCCATGTACCATTTACATTATATTCAGGCAAATAAATCGGGTTTAGCTCTTATTTGTAAGTCATTGTGACGTAAAGGGGCTGCAGAGTGCAATGAACTGAAACCTTCACGTTCGATCTTCCGTCAGATAGAATTCAGGTCCCAAGTGCGAGGAGGCCCTGCTCTTTCCTGTAACCAGAAAACTGGCATCTTCGTCACACATTACGAGGGCCAAGGAAAACTGACCCCACTTTGACAACTTCCATTTGGGAGCACAGGAACTTCAGCAACCTCCCCCCTCCCCTCCTCCTCCAGTCAAAACAAAAGGCATCCAAGGTGGGCACGGAGCTATTACTCTGCTACACCAGGGGTGCCCAACCTCTGGGGCGTGACTCACTAGCGGGCTGAGAGTTGTTTGCAACCGGGCCATGGAAACAGTGGCTGAGTGTGCATGCACACTGCTCGAGCAAATGGAGCTGCGCACGTGCTTGCCGGCCGCTCACACAGGACCATCCCTTCTTCCTCGCTGGTCCCCAGGGACAGAGAGGTTGGGCAACTCTGTGCTACACCCTTTTTCAGAGGCCTATCCCTGTATTTCAGGGGGGAAAGGCGACCTATTAGTGACCAAAGGTATATATAATAGTTTGAGGAAGCTGGTGTGGCCACAGTGAGTTGATTTTTTTCCTTTGATTTTTTTTTTTAAATTTCTTTAGCTTGAAGGCTCTTCGGGGAACTTTTTATTTTATTAACTGCAAAATGCTAGCCCATTGCAGAGTTTACATTCATTTTTATCTGTTTACGCCTTCAAATGGGGAAAACCCACAATATCTATTTCTAGTAAAAGGAATCAAAGCAAGCTCTAGGGCCGGGGTCTTCAAACTTGGCCCTTTTATGACTCGTGGACTTCAACTCCCAGAATTCCTCAGCCAGGAAGTTGAAGTCCACGAGTCATAAAAGGGCCGAGTTTGAAGACCCCTGCTTTAGGGGTTACCTATAGTCTGTGCCCTTAGGTTCCCCATCCCAACTGTGTGTGAAAATCTAAAGCACTCACAATTGCTGGTGTATGCAAAATCTTCTTCAAGAGGAATGAATGTTCCATAAAACTCCAGTATGTTGTTTTCCCCTGGACCACGGCTAAAGGCCACAAAAATCACTTCTATAAAATTGACAAGCTGCTACGGTCCAAAAGGGAAATCCAACATTCCAGTTTTTCAAGAACACTAAATCGCTACAATATTAGATTTTCCACATCCCCATTGGTTGGCTTAATACCCTCAAAATAATTTCTCTTTTCTTCTGACCCTGCACAGAACTTGGCTATTCTAAGAATGGCAAATCTTATTTTGAAGTAAAAAGGCAAAAACACAATCTTTATCCAAAACATCTTGAGCACATCAGTTACAAAAATTCAGTAGCAGCTACAGGAAAAAAGAACCGGGTAATACGGATTAGGGTTTAGTGGCAACAACGGCAGAAGAACAGTATGATGTGAGGGTCAAGACAATTCCCTATTCAGATATTCTTCATATACAAGTATGCCTACCAAATCCTTTGTTGAAGATGTCTCGGGCAGACTTGCCAAGGTCCGCATAGGCTGGTGGAATAGCCATTGGCGCTAGGGAAACATAGTAATGTACATGTTAGTACCGCAAAAAGAGAACAGGACAGGACAATGATTTGTGTGCCAATTCACAAACATTAGTCTACTTATTTTTAAAAGAAAATTGGTTTTCACCCCTAGGAACTACAGCTTAAGATGTTCAGATCAACATCCCAGGCAATCAAGCCATCCTTTCCAGACCAACATGTTTGGGCATTTTTTTTTCAATTGCAAAGAAAAGCATGTTCAGTTGGCTGAAGCTTTTTCCAGATCATCCTAACAAATGCAGATTTTTCCACATGATGCCAGTTAAATCCAATATCCTCTTGACTTACAAAGTTTATATAGTAAGAAATCTGCTTATTCACTCATGAATCTGAGCTACATAGAGAAGCAATGAAGAGCACTGAAAATCCATGACATTCAAACCATGGTCAAAGAAGTTAGCTGCAATGTTGTTAAATTTTGTTATGTTTAGGATGCATATGTTTTAAGTACACATCTGTTCTTCAAATCCTAAAATGCAGATATTAAAACATTACTTCTGCACCTGATTTTAACACATCATTTATTTTTAAGCACAAAAACTTAAAATCAAACCAATCATTTTCTACTGAGCAACTAATCAATACATTTACACACAAATCAGCAAATTTTCCATTCCACAAGGAGTTTAAAATTCAATTAATGTTTTGACTGATACATATTTCAATAGAAGAGAATACCTGTAGCTCAGGGTTGAACTATGGGGTCCTTGGTCCTCTCTGTTTGGTTGCTTTCTATGGGGCATTCCATTATCCAGCTGGGTAACACCATCAGCGAGAGCTCTAGCACTGATGATGTTACCTAGTTGGGTAATGAGATGCTCAAGAAATCAACTAAGCTCAAAGAGCACCAAGGATCCCATTGATACAAGTTCAGAAGAATCATCCTTCAAATTCCAAGGACAAATAAAATAGTTGTAAAAGAAATGCCCTCCAGTTCCAAGGGCTTTCAGTTTCAATTCCCAAAGTGCTTCGGAGCACATGGGGCTGGGGATGTAGCTCCTGCCCACAACTCTTTAAAGTAGCCATGTCTTCTTCAAGAATCATATAACTGTGGAAAGCAGCCACGCAATCCCAGGGGGAAAAAAACACATTTTAATGAATGACAGATAGGTATCATATTTATGTTCCTGCACTCTCCAAAGTACTTTTCTGAACTATTTCCAAATCAACATATAACTCTAACATATAATTTTGTGACATAAAAACACAACCTATACACCCACCTAGCAGTATATATATTTTCTAGCAAGTATTATAAAAATATCTGTTCTATTTCCACATTTAGATGGAATGTCTTTTCCTATCCTAATTTTATTTCTTAGGAGACAGAGAGACTAAAGGATGGCTTAAATAACCTTAGGAGTAACTCCTGACAAGGACCTTCCAATCACAAATGAAAAGGAACTTTTTCTTCTCTTTTCCTTTCTGTCACCATCCTAAGATGCTTCCAGTTGCAGAATTGTTCACTGGTTTATAAAAATGTGCTTTTTGCTTGTAAATATACAATCTGCCCAATTAAATAATTACAAAGGAATTAGCGAAGTAGCCGTACTTCCCAATTTTGATTATGTATTGCTTCTAGAAGCAGAAAATCAAGAGAAAATCCATTTAGAAACCCGACATCTAAACCCAAGGGCTAGGAAATGTAATTAAAACTTAAATTAGTTACGTTGCATAATTATGTTGCGCCTTTCCCTGAAGTTCTTTTTAATATCTCCACGATCTCATTTAAAGCGCTCATAAAGAATTGTTGAAAAACTTTGCAAGTATCTATAACTTTAAACATTAAAATAGATCATACTGAGGAACAGACATTACAGAAAAATTCTTTAAAGTACTCATTTAAGATGGATCTAGCTTTGTTTTGAATAACTAAATTGAACTAAGAATTATCCCTCTATTAGATGTTAGTCTTCCCTCCAGACCTCAATATAGCTTGTAAAATGGTTAGTTAAGTTACTTCAACATCCTTACGTTAACTCTTTCCCTACTTACGTCTTGGTGGGCGCTGACATGCTGGATTAAAATTCATAGCTATTTAGTCCAATTTACAGTATCTACAAAACGGGGAAGGGGGAGATTACATCAAAGTTAAGGTTAGCAACTTTTTTACAGACCATTTCAACAGTTGCATTCTTTCGTTTTGCTTTTGTCAACAACTAAAAATATTTGTATAACTCCTTTCATAAACCATGCAGCCCTTTGTTTGGGGAACCTGCCTCAACCCTGTGCACAGACCAAGATTGACCTGGCTATCTTAGCTCCATGTGTATACAGGTAGTCCTCAACTGACAGCAATTCGCTTAGTGACCATTCAAAGTTACAACGGCACTGAAAAAAGCAATTTAGAACCATCTTTCAGTTACTTTTGCAACATCCCTAGGACCATGGGGTCGAAACTCGGAGGCTTGGCAACTGGTTCATCCTTATAACCGTTCCTGTGTCCCAAGGTCACGTGGTCGGTCCCCTCCTGACAAGCAACACCAGTTGGGGAGGGAGAGAGATGGGTTCACTTAACAGCTGTGTGACTTAACACATACACGTCTTGCTTAGCAGCAGAAATTATGACCTCAATTGTAGTCGCGAGTCGAGGACTACCTGTATTTATTATGTTTTCTCAACAGGAATAAAATGCAAAACAGAACAAGAAAACGGAGGAAAACACACATTCTAGAGCAACAGCAACAACAAAATGTGTACATAAAAGGGGGGGGGAAGTGCCCCATACATCCCAAGGTATGTGTGGGGGGGGTGGATGGATGGCAGAGCCCTCCCATGTCCATCTTGCAGGCCCTCTTCCTCTGCCCCCCTCCTCCTCAGCGATGAAAGGGGAGGGTGCTCTGATGCGGGGAGGGGGAGAAGGGGGAGACCCCCCCTATATTTCTTGGCCACCAACCAAGTAATCATGTAATCATGATTAAAACAGTAATCATGAATACTGAATAATAGTAATAATAATATTAATGAATAATAGCAATAACAATAATAGTAATGATGAGGCTGATTATTTTTTTTTTTGCTTATTTTTTTTTTTTTTAATTTCTTTCTGGGCTGTTTGAGCCACACTTGGCCTACTAGACTAGATTCCTCAACCTTGGCCGTTTTAAGATGAGGGGACTTCCAACTCCCAGAATTCCCCAGCCAGCTCTGCTTTATAATAATAGTAGTAATAACAATACACTATTAACTGTTATTATTAACTGTTATTTACCATTAACTGTTATTTACAGTTAGTAAGTTAACAGGGAAAAAAAGCAGCAGCAGCAGCAAAAGATTATTATTATTATGATAATGAAGATGAAGAAGCGGGAGGCAGGGCCCCCCCGCCGCCCCCACCCCAAACAGAGCCGGGGCCCTCCCCCTCCCCCCAGGGGAGCCAGGGGGAAGCCCCAGGGAGCCGCCCCTCCCCTCCCCCCTCCCCGGGCCCCGCGGTCCCTTTCTGGGAGGGCCCTCCCCTCCCCACCCAACCGAGGCCTGGCGGGCAGGCCCGAAGGCTCCTCGGCCGGGGAAGGGCGGCCCGGGGGGGGGGAGAGGGAGGCAGTCGCGGCCATCCCTTCATCCCTCCGTTCCGGTCCCGCCACCCACCCCAGGGAGGCCGGAGGGCGGGGCGGGGCGAGGTCGGCCTGGCCTCCTCCGCAGGGCTGTTTTTCAGGAGGGCCGGAGAGTCTCCGCCGGAGGAGCCGCCGCCGCCGCGAAATGTCTCGAGCCCCGCGTGGAGGACCCCCCCGCCGTTACCGTGGCAACGGCGAGGCCCGGCGGCCCCCTCCGGCCTACCTGTCTAGGCGAGGGAAGGGCCGAGGAGGGGAGCCGCTCTTCTCTCTCTCGCTCTCGCTCTCGCTCGCTCGCTCTCTCCGGGCCAGGCGCGCGCGCTCCGCAGCCGCCTCCTCTCGAAGGCCGCGCTGGAGGGCGAAGTGAAGGAGACGCCGCGCGCTCGCCGCGGGCCAGGACCCCGCAAACGACGGGAGGGCTGCCCTGCGCCGCGCCTGACGGGATCGCCGCCTGCCGCGCCGCCGGGATTGGACTCGCCGCCCTTCTGGGAGACGTGATCGAGTCGAGCCCACCCAGCCAGGAAAATAGAGCCCGCCCAGCTAGGGAAAAGGCGGAAAGCGAGCGGAGGGAGCCGCCTAATTCAGTCAGGCACCGATTTAGACAGCCCCGTTGGAAAGCAAGGAGAGGGCGGGGTTCTGGGTGGGAAAGCGGGAGGAGGAGGAGGGGAGGGAGAGAAAGTGGTCGGGCGCCGGCGCGCATGCGCAGCCGGGGGACAGGTGCTCCAGGGTCGTGCCATCGCTGAGCGCTTCGTGGCGTGGTGCTTTTTTTTGGTTTTTTTCCTCTTCAAAATAAGCCTGGTTTTCATTTTTGCACGGTATGCATAATGTTATTTAATGAGTCTGAATGTCCGCTCTTGAAGTTGCACTTGAATGCACGAAAGGCAATTATACGGCCGGCCGTGTCTGTTGCCCAAGGGGTTGCGTGAGAGGAGGTTGCAAAAATCCATAAAAATATGCGGGTGTGTCCATTCAGTGCTGGAAAGTGTCAAGTCCCCCCTCCTCGAAGCAATGAAAGAGAAAAGCAAGAGCCTTGCTCTTAGATGCCCTAGCCTAGAGACGGACGTGCCTTCTATCAGGTGCTGGAGGGTGTCAACATCGGCAAGATGAGAGGCATTGCTTTGCAAACAAAGCCCCCCCCAGCTCCCCCCCCTTTTTATCCGTGGAAACGACGCTGCTGCTTGTACAAACAGGCTGTGGCTTCAAACAGTGATGCACACACATTCCTTGGCAGATTGTGGCACTCCTGCGGATGCCCCGCCTCCTGGGAAGATCAGAATCTGGATTCACCTTAAGAGTTCGTGAAAGGCAGGCTAATGGAGGAACACCATTGCAGGAGGAAATCTTTGCGTGCAAAATTGCACAGGGGAAAAGACCGATCTATTTGCAAGCTGGACGATGGAAGTGGCCCTCCAGGCTCAGCAAGGGAGGCTGGGCATCAGCCTGGTTCACAGGCATCTGGGCCAAGAGCCACGTGGCCAGCAACAGGGGAGCGTCACAGACTTAGAGAAACAAGCAAAAGGCAAAATAAAAAATAATAAATAAAATTGGGGCAGAGTGAAAAACCAAAGTGGAAAGAATTGAACAAGGAATCGCCAGGTACTCTACTAGTGTAAAAGCAGGAGAGTCCAAGGAGAGACAATCTTCCGCTGGCAGGAAAGTCTAAGGCAGTGTTTCTCAACCTTGACAATTTTAAGGCATGTGGACTTCAACTCCCAGAATTCCACAGCCAGCATCGCTGGCTGTGGAATTCTGGGATTTGAAGTCCACATGCCTTAAAATTGTCAAGGTTGAGAAACACTGGTCTAAGGGAAGTCTAGACCAGGGGTAGGCAACCTTGGCTCTTTTATGACTCGTAGACTTCAACTCCCAGAATTCCAAGCTGGCTCAGGAATTCTGGGAGTTGAAGTCTACGAGTCATAAAAGAGCCAAGGTTGCCTACCCCTGGTCTAGACTTTACAACTTTACAACCAGGTTACTAATTTGAATAACTGCAGAGATTTACTTAAGAACTGTGGCAAGACAGATCGTTAAGAGGGGATGGTTCTGCTCGAGCAGCCGGCAAGCGGATACACAGCTCCATTTGCGTGAGCAGCGTGCATGCATGCTCAGCCACCATTTGCACAGCCCGGTTGCAAACAACTCATGGCCACTAGTGGGCCGCGGCTCATAGGTTGGGGACCCCTGCTATAGAGGATTTGCACTGCGACAAATACGGGGATGCAAATAGACAATCCGGGCTATAAGATAACATTTGTATGTGAAGAGATCAGTGAGGAATTGTACATGGAACAGCTTGTCAGAAGGGGAAAAGCAGGTTGCCCTTTTTTATGGGCAAAAAAGAGGGTTGTTGTTTTTTTCTCAGAAGCACCTTTTGAAAAAATAAGGCATATTTATGCTGCTAAAGAGTAAGGCAAAAATGGCAGAAGAGTCCGTGCCTTAATTTTCCTAGACAGTGTTCTAATCTGTTATGACAAGAGAATGCTGGAAGTGAAATCATGTGGACACTGGGTAAGAACATTGAGATCAAAGCAAAAAAAAATCTAGGACAAATCAGGTGCTACTTTGGTTTCCCTTTAGTGCAGGGGTCCTCAAACTTGGCCACTTTAAGACTTGTGGACTTCAACTCCCAGAATTCCCCAGCCAGCGTGCCTGGTTGAGGAATTCTGGGAGTTGAAGTCAATAAGTCCTAAAAGGGCCAAGTTGGAAGACCCCTGGCCTGGATACATATCTACACCCTACCCCTCTCTGTATAGTAATGGCCTCTGCTGAGTCACTCAGATTTAAGATTGGCGGCTTCACGACTGCAAGCCTGGGCTGTGCCGTTTAGTCTGCCCGTTCCTCTGGGTATACAAGCGTTCTGAGATAGAAATCTAATTAGACGTCTATATAAAAACCCTACTGAGGATTGTTCATAACCAAACTCTTTGAGATATATTGGAAAGAGATTTCAGGTAATAACGACCCATTTCAAGAAGACAACCTCTTTTGATACGTACCTTTGAGCAGGAAACTCAGAGAGGGAACCTTCCCCCTCATCCTACACCCAGGCTACAGATATTCGCCACTATTGCAAGACCAGGATTGTTTATGTGTGACCTAAGTAAACCCACATCCGAATTTCCACAGCAGTTCACCTCAAGTGGAGAAGAAGGTGGAGTAAATCTTCACATTTTAATAAAGATCTGGACTGACCTTTTAGCAACTTTCTCTCAAGCCAGCCCCATGTATTAAAGATAAGAAGAAAATAACTATTATTCAAAAGAAATCAAGGTGATACTCACATGTATGTTTGCTTTTGTGTGAGTGTTTATGTCCTTTCTTTTCCTTCTTTTTCTTTTTCCTTTTCTTTTCTACCTCTGTTTCCATGTTTGGCTCCATAAGCCCAGGGGAGTTTACACGGTTTAAGGCAGCTGACAAGACAGGACTCCCTCCTTTTGCTAAAACAATAGGCAATAGTATGCAGGTCAAGGGCTATTTTGCTGCTTCTATCTAATGAAGGAGAAATTCTTTAAATGCTCTGTCTTAAAGGGGGGGGGTGTTAAGGAACTGCTCTTAGTGGACTAAAGGTTAAAAAGCCCTCACCACCTCCTGCAACTTACAAATCAATAGCAGGAACAGGGTCCTAAACTCCCTGGAATTATATAAAAAGGCTGTGATCCTACCTACAGGGCAATATACCCAATCCAGAACCACTTGGGATTTGGCAATGCCTAAATCAAGTAAATAAGCTCACTTTTTGGAAGTAAAACCCATTGAACGTCAGAGGACTTACTTCAAAGTAAGCAAATTTTGTCACTCGTATTTAATCAAAATAAGCTTTGGTTTTTTTTTTACATTTATAACTTTACATTATAAAGTGGGCTTTATAATTTACAGGCTGAAATTCTCGATCTGTGTAGCTGAGAGTATCCCAAATGAATGCTAAGAGTAGCAAGGATCCTTGGAAAGTATATATAGCATCAGGCTACAATTGCTAGTAGGCTTACTTAAAAGAAAATACCGGGAGCTCGCTGTCAGTTTGGATGAAGGACCAATCTTGACATTTAGGATAATTTGAAGCAGATGATCATCTGTCCGTGGTTAAAAAAAAGATGGTTCTAACGTTGGTTGTTACAAAACAAAATGCTAAGCGAAACTCTAGACCAGATTCATTGCTCTAATGTTTTGCAAATATCAGTGCAATGATTATAGCTGTAACTTACCCCACAAAAAAAACTGTCATGCAGAAAATTAAAGTTTAAATAAGGTTTTATAAGGTACAGTTCTTCACTTCCAAGCATGAAACCATTTTAGGTGAGGCTTTGGAGAACTGATCAAGGCTTGGGTTGCTGTGAGACTAGAGGAAAAAAAAAGATAGAAACGTAATATTTTGAGCAAGAGAAACTTTGAGTTGGCCAAAGTCTCCTGTGCTTAGGAAGGAGGCTACATCCCTGGGAAGGTGCATACTTTGAACCTGGGCTCTTTTTCATACAATCCCCAGCCAGAGTTGAGAAAAAGCCAGGTCTGAAATCTTGAAGAGCTACTTTAACATCCCCCCTTGTTGATACCCCTGTCCTAAATTGCATCTGTTTCTTTAATTAAGGGTTGTTGTTTTTTTATTAAACTGAGATTTTAGTTCCTTGTGTTTGCTTCCAGCACTCAAATGTAATTCAGAGCCAGGATTAAAGGTTTGGGGTTTTGTTTTGTTTTTTCCCCTGGCAGGCAGGAATTTCCACCCGCCTTGGCTACACATGTGACTTTTGGCTGGCGGAAGATGAGTCAGATCAGTGGAATTGCTTTCCAAACGAAGAAAACTTGTTGAAGTGAAACGAGGACAGCGAGGACAGCGTGATTTACATGGTGATTCAGCTCTCTCCTTGGACTCTCAACACACAACAGATCCCTGCTGGATCCACAGATCCAGCTACCCCGTTCAATGTGAAGACTCTGAGACTAATACATCCGTTGGGTTGTGCTCCTCAAAAAAAACCTAGAAAGACAGTGATGTGCTATTTCTTTTAGGGCAGTGGTCCCCTCTCACCCCCCCTCCTGCTAGTCACACTGTGGTTAGATACCCTTTTTCCTGGCTCCTGGTAGTTGGACTCCCATCTTAATCTCCACACCTTTAGAGGAGAATCTTGCCAGACGCTCAACTATCCAGGCTCTGGGTCAGGATTTCCGTCCCTTCTTCCACTCAGCTGAGATGAGGATCATCAGGATCATCATTCTGGCCTTAACAAACCATGGCTTAGTAACATAATAGCTGAGAGTCAGTAAAAGGAAGCTTCTTCTAAAATGCCTTGGATAAGAAAGGCAGTGCAGTCATGCAGAGAAACAAAAGGGGTGTGTTTGCATGTGTTTAGAAACCTAAACAACTGAGGCAAGCCACAAAAACATCTTTGAATTTCTACTGGGGAAAAAAAATAATAAGCTGTATAATTCAGCTGGTTCCTTCTAAACCATTTCAATGACTAAGTTCATACACTCTCTTATCAAGAGTCCAAGGAGAAATACCCCTATTTATATACTGATACGTTTATAGCCAAAAGACCCTGAATTTTGTCCTAAATCTAAGAGAAAGCTGGGAATCACACCCCCCCCCCCCCCGTGGGCTATCCCTCTCCATAGACACTTTAATATTGCTTCAAGGAGAAAGTCAGTGAAATGTAACTGCTCAAGGAAGAAAGCGGAATTTGCAGAATGGTGAGATTACTAAGGCAGCTACTTAAGTGAGATTACTAAATCCATTGCTTAATTGGTTTTTAATTACGCTCCAAACCTGCTTTCAGCCTTGTTCATCTTGTACTTTATATGGACTTCTCAGTGGCAAGTAGATCACAGATGGGATCATTGTTTGAGAATCTAAATCCAGTTAGTTGCAGTGATTTTGTCTCCTTGGCGGGTGGGGGATTGTAGTGTTGTTTACACAGCTTGGTCTTGATCTGATGTGGACACTTGAGGATTGAGGAAGTAATGTAATATACATCCTAATTTAATAGGGTCATCTCTTACGGTTTCTGACAACCGACCACCATACAGCGTAGCAGTTACTGAACAAGTTCAAACTAGCATTCAGAGGCAATTCTGGGAGTAAGGAATCTGTTGATAGCCAAATGCATGGTTAAAAGGGATTTTTTTTTTTTTTTTTTTAGAATGACAGAAAGCTTAATTAAGCAAGTTCATCAGCAGAGGGCAGCAAGCATTTGATCTCAAACCGGCTGAGTCAGAATGGATTAAGCAGTTGGTGGAAAATCAAAATCTGCCGGGTGTCATTGTAAATCTAGCGTTTCTGAGACTGGCTGCTGACCCTGGTTCTTCAGGAGAAGACTTGGGAGGGTTTAATCCATCAACTCCAGCAAAGGCTGAATTTTGCTTTTGATTTTTTGATCAGCGAACATGGAGGGAGACAGCAAAATATTTTGGGGTGCTGAAAATTCTTTCTAAATCGACTCGCAGCATTCGACCTGTTGTGTGGTGGTAGGCTTGGAAATGGCTATTCTAGAGCAGGGGTCCTCAATCTTGGCCACTTAAGACTTGTGGACTTCAACTCTCAGCCAGGAATTCTGGGAGTTGAAGTCCACATGCCTTAAAATTGTCAAGGTTGAGAAACACTGCTCTAGAGCAGTGGTTCTCAACCTTTCTAATGCCGCGACCCCATAATACAGTTCCCCATGTTGTGGTGACCCCCAACCACTTATACATCACTGGGTGCCGGGGGCGTGGCCAAAGAAAAGGGGGAAAAAATGGCGGACAGCCTTGTTTGGCGACCCCCGTGAAATGGTCATTCGACCCCAAATGGGGTCCCGACCCACAGGTTGAGAACCACTGCTCTAGAGCCTCTGTAACAATAAACAAAAGATAAAAGAGAGATTTTTGCTTTTGTTAGACAGTGACTGAGATGAAAGTGTATCGCTTAGTTAATCTTTCAGATTTTATTGAATGCTTCAACAGTATAACACGGGACATACAAAACAATATAAATTAAATCCATGTTCACATTGGAACTAATCCCCTCTTTACTTACACAACATCTGTACTTCAAACCATTATGTGAAAGGAATATTCAAGTCTTAAAACATCACCGTGTTTTAGGGACAGGGGAAAACCTGAAACCAAAATCTTTGTGCCATGTATGAAAGTGAACCACTTTAGCCCAATCGATATTCTCCTTTTGGTTTAAGAAATAAGAGCTGTAGATGTGTATAGTTTTTTGTTTATAGTCAGATATCCTAAAGCAGGGGTCTTCAAACCTGGCCCTTTTATGACTTGTGGACTTCAACTCCCAGAATTCCTTAGCCAGTATGCCTGGCTGAGGAATTCTGGGAATTGAAGTCCACAAGTCATAAAAGGGCCAAGTTTGAAGACCTCTGGGCTAGATAATGGTTGGGGACAACAACAGGAAAACTTTAACTTTAACTCAGCCAGGGCCTCAATCTAACACAAAATTACTGCCCATTGACATCCTTTAAAGCACATGAGGTACTCACAATTTACAAAATGATACATGCCAGATTTTGAAATTGTCGGTCTTACTTTACTACTACTCTACTCTGAGTAGGAAACAAAAAAAGGCAAATAAATAGACTCCTGCTTTGAAAATATTTTTTAAAAAATCAATGGTAATATAATAAATATTTCTCCTTTAAGTGAAAAGTGAACAATCAAATCTGATGTTTTAAACAGGAGAAATCCACAGGGTAAACAGTATTACAGTTTGGAACAATTGGAGGAAATAAGTATGAAATATAGCTTCAAAAATGAACCCAGGTGGGGTTAAATTTAATATGAGGTGTTCCCCTGCTAGAGTTCATAGAAGGGCTAATTTTGATAAGAATCCAAAGTGCAAATACAACTATCATCACAAGTGAAAAATTATTTCAAAGTTGGCCCTTTGGGTCAAGTTAAGGAGCAACGAATTAGTGAAGACTTGAAGAGGCCGAATTCTCTGCAGGGTTTTCTCCCGATGGGGAACGGTCCCATCAAGGAAGTTGCTGCTGGAGATTGTGTCCAGCTACAGAAGGCTCATGAAGGCTACCCCTACAGAAGGTCATTAAAAGTTGTGTTCCTGTACGTTTGCTCCCATATTGCTGCTTCTAGGGCCTCGCTTCCAGTAAACTTGACCATACTTGTGATGGGCAGGCCCCCTGTTCCCTCACCAAAGGCATTTGTAAACTTAGCGACTGGCTGTTTCCCTCTGGCATTCAAAGTTACATTTTACCAAGATTTCTTTCAAACAGCCAACACTCTGTGCTTCAAAGAAGGCTACTTTGTACTTTTGCTGTTGAGGAAAGATTAGGTAAACGTTCCAGTGTGTTGCTGTAAATGGGGCGAAGAAAAATCATTTTTAATTTTTCCTGCTAGGCCAAACCAGAGGTGCAATATTGTTGCATTCAAAATGCAACTAACTGGTCCATTTTACTGCGGCTACAAACCATAAAAGCTCTCCATTTGAGCTGATAGAAACAACTGTTTCTGTATTTCTAATTTAAAAAAAAAAACATCTCATGCTACATTTTAATATACTGGGAGATGACCTCCGTGCCTTTATGGAATGGATTTACGCAAATTAAACATAAAACACAGAAATAGCTTTATAGAAAGAATTTGGTTTCAGCACATTCTCTGGAACAATTTGTGAAAAAAGAAGGACATCCATTCTCGTCAAGGATTTGATTTCATTTCAAAATACCAAAGTAGACCTTTACGTGAATACTGTATTACTGGGGCAATATTAAATATTGCTAGAGGTATTTACAATGTTCTCGGGTGAAAATACTTTCAAGGTATAAAATAAGGAAGTTTTACGTGACCATAACTTTATTTCAGTATATTTTTGATAAGTTTTCTTGAAGTTCAAAGCGAAGTCCTGTATTTTTATGCCTACCAATATTAAGCTCTGTTCAGCAGAAATGAAAAGGGAATGTGTGTCTGGTCTCTTGCCTGCCTTCTGCCAGTTCACAGCTCTGGAAATGGTTCCGTTTGTGAGACTGGAGTAATTAGTTGCTTGATTAATTAATTAATTAAGTAGTCAAGCCAAAGGGCAGATGCACTATTTTGGGTCACTGAAATTCACTGCCCTCTGTGAAGTTACTAAGACTATATAACTGACTTGAGTGCAACTTTTAATGTCAGGTTTAAAAGTCTAAATTAGAAATGGATTACAAATAATCCATTTGCACGGTATAATTCAAAAAAATCCAGTTGCAAACAACCTGGAATACCTCAATTTGTACAATGGAAGTGACAAACCTTGCATTCCAGATTTCAAATCGCCAGGACTCTTTTTCCAAAGGCTGAACTTCTTTTAATCCACAAAACCATCTCCCATTTTTAGGCTATTGGGGCTCCCAACTTTAAACTGAGCAGATGGTTTAAAAGATCAAGAATGAAACGGAGTAGCTTTTATGAAAGGCAGGTTTCAGAGAGGAAAAAAAAAAGAGAGAGAGGGCGGTCAGGAGCTCCGAGTGCCGAGTGTTTAGCTTGTTTTCTTACTTTCGGCCATCGGTCTATTCATCAAGAAAAGTGACGGTGACTGAAGCCACCAAACTTCCATCGTTTAACCTGCACTGATAAGCATCTCAGAAGTTTCTCTAGCAGCTAATTAAATTTCACCTTCTGCCAACGTCCCACTGTGCATCGCCGTGTGCTTCACAAAAACCCCATTAAGACACCTCCATTCATCCTTTATTCAAGGCGACATTATTAGCTTGCCTCCCAATTTAACAGGATTACTACCCTAACATCAACATTTTAAAAAGCATGCACGGATTTAAGTAAGTGTTTAATACTGCCCTGAAAGAGTTGTGGCACAAAAATCTCAATCAACCTCATTTCTAATATATTTCTTACCGGTTTAATGAAATGTAAACACTCAGGACCTCTGAATGACACAAGGGCATCAATTCATTTATCTTAAGTCAGCCAGTTCCTTGTTTCATTCACCAAAAACACCAATCCTGCCCCTTTCATCATACTGAAGGCTTTGGAACTTGTGTCTCCGGGTGAATGTTCCCCAACTCATTTATTTGCTAAAATAAATATTGAGAGGCAATTACTGAACGGCTATGATGTTTTTGTCAGTATGTGTCCAAGCTATGACAGACGTCCTTGCACATCACATTTACACCTTACATAGCTAAGCATGGACGCATCCCACCAGAGCCCGGCCTGCAATGCGTTATTGCTTTCCACAAGCAATCTGAGCAAGGCAGTTCCGTCGTCTGCTTGCTCGCCATTTTTCACGTTCAAACATACTTTTCAACAGCAGGACATAAGCGGCTGTTACTATTAGTCCCACCCGGATTGTAAGCCTTGCCTTTGAACTGTGTGTCTACCATTCAAAATGGTTAATAAGTCATAATTCACACCAAAGTCAAGGGCCATCTACAGGGTGCAAACCAGAATTTGTCAATAGCTATTTATGGTTACCCACGATGTGCAAACAGGCCCCAAAGCTGCTTAGGTAATACCTGGATCTGAAGTTATTCCTGCAGCAAAGATCCATTTAAGATCCTCCCAACAAGAAAGCTGTTAAGATTTGCTGAGCCCCCCATTTTAACCTCACCACATCCATGCAGAACTTGATTACAACTTAACAACGTTGCCTGAATATTTAAAAAAAAAATGGCAATGTGTTTTCGGTCTCTTCTGAACCTCTATCAGCCACGAGAGGATGAACAAGGCCAGAGGAGGTGCAGTGGGTGAGAACAATCCTTCGTGCCCAGCATTTCTTGAAGAAGGTTAGTTGCAAGTACTTCATAGAGATGTGAATTAAACTGGAATATTCTTTAGCCAATTAACCTTTTCAGTATGGTCGGCTTTGAAAAGGGCCAGCAATATTCATTGGGAACTGTGCCGTTGACGTTGCACTCAAAAAAGGAGAACATGGGAAACCAGATCCTGGCCCTCCGGCTCTGCTGATAGGCCCTGGTGTTCGCCAGGGTGTGATAGTACAGGAAGAGTCTTGTCGTGATGTAGAAGGCGATGAAGACATCAATGGAGTAATGTTCATGAGCAGCCAAAATGAAGAAGATCCCAAAGAGATTCAGCACCCACGACAACGTATGCAAAAAGTTCCAGCTTCTTGGGGTATCTGAAAGGAACACAGGAGTCAACCACCCACAACTTGGAACTTTTCATCACTGCGTTTGGACATGTTCTGGGCAACTAGAAGCAAGCAGGAAGGCTTGGGCTAAGCTTCGGGAACTGCTCTGGAACGAAAGAACAGTTCCAGTCAGGAAAGGTTACAAAAAAATTATTGGAACCTGTTCTCTTAGCGGGAACAACAGCCAGGGGGAAAGGAGCAACCTAGACCCCAATGGTTTGAAATGCTTAATAATAATAACAGGCTGGCCAACGGTCATGGACTCTGGCCTTGTAATAACTTGTCTTCTGAAAATAACAAGGTCTGCACTATATTTATCTTCTATTCTCATTCTCTCATTTTGCCCTTTCGACGATAAGTCTAAGGCCTGGATATCTGCCTGCAGTTTATAATTTAATTTCCAGAACATCAACACAGCCACAGCATAGCTACTTTTCATGACGCTTGTATTAGATGTCTTACAAGTAAGGGACCAGTTAAATGCAGAATTAGTATGCAGATCACGAATGCAGGTGTCAGTAAGACATTTCAAAATTGTAAATAAGTCCTTTTCACATGTATTTCTAAAACAAAATGGCACACACACGATGGGAACATGCGGTATTCAATAGTTCTTCTCCAATTATGTTTATCCCAAATGGGGGTCAACCATGAACCCTAATAGATTCTGGTTTCTCCAGTTGAAACCTCTTTTTTTCTCCCCCATGGACTGAAAACTTTCTTTCACAATTAGGCAGCTGGGGGGGGGGCCTCCAGAAGCAGCCAAACTACAACTCCCAGCAGCTCCATCCAACAGGACTTCTCGGTGGGGGTTGGAGTTGAGCAACATTTGACCTGTGTCTGCGTGATCTGCAGAGCAAGGAATGTTGCACAACACCAGAAAGGAGGAGAGGAAGGTTTGTGGCAAGCTGGCTGGACAATAACCATGTTCCGTTTTTCAATTCTCTACTTACATTCCGTGACAAAAAAGTTCAGCATAGTCAGGACAACCGTGTGGCCACTGAACATATAGTCTCCACAGGTGTGCACGCCAGTTAACGTCATGCCAAATCCACTCCAAATAGCAAAAGCTCGCTGAAGTTTTGCCCACACGTTGCCATATAACTAGAATAAGAAGCATGCACCACATTTAAAAGGAACACATCGAGAAGACGGGAGACCCCAGATAAATGCAGCAACCGCCCCCACCGTAAATACAGTATCTTGCACAGGCGGTCCTCGACTTACGAGTTCATCTAATGAACATCCAAACCATTTTTCAGAGTTATAACCTTTGCAGCATCCTCATGATCACGTGATCTATCTATCTATCTATCTATCTATCTATCTATCTATCTATCTATCTATCTATCTATCTATCTATCTATCTATCTATCTATTTGCCCCTGGGCCATATCAAAGGGCAAAGTTCCAGAAACAAATTATGACTAAAATTTGATAAAAGCAATTTAAAATGGAATTGGATAAAATACAATTTAAAATGAAACTGAAATAAAATAAAATGAAATTGGAATAAAATACAGTCGAAAAAGAAATTGGAATAGAATACAATAATTTAAGATATAGATAAAATAGGATAAAATTATATTTCAGTGTAATCCCTGTCAATCTACCCCAATCAGTCCCACATACACAGATCTCAACTGAACCATTTTCCTTAAGTACGGTGTTAAATGTTAGATTCTGGCCTCACATAAGGTAAGTTGTTCTGATATGGGGATCCCAATGGGTGATCACGTGATCAAAATTCAGATGCTTGGCAGCTGGTTCGTATTTATGAAGGTTGCAGCGTCCCAGGGTCATGTGATCAGATTTTGAGACTGTCAAGGTAATGATTTAGAAGCTAACCAGCTGATGTAATCTATGATATAATGTTGGCAATGGCTCAGCAGGCTCTGTGTCTCTTTAAGAGCCCTTGTATAAAAGGGAAGGCTCTGCAGACGGGTGCTCTCTCTTCCGTTTCCTGCTGTAATAGCATGTGTATGTATATTGTTCCTGTTGTATGATATTGTAGATAGTGTAAGATAAACCACCATTTAATATAAACCACTGTTTACTGTGTTTACTCCTGGCTTATCTCGCACAATAAGACTGTGCATGCTCTGACAGCAGACTTTCCAATAAGCAAAGGCAATGGGGAAGCCAGATTCACTTAACCATTGTGTAACTAACTTAACAACTGCAGTGATTCATTTAACAACTATAAGATCTTAAATGGGGCAAAACTCACTTAACAACTGTCACCCTTAGCAACAGAAATGTTGGCCTCAATTGTGATCATAAGCTGAGGACCACCTGTATTCGGTTCAGGCATTGGCATAAGTTATGACAACAGTTAACCTAGATTGGCTTACTTTTCAACTACCCTTCAGTTTGCACAAAAGAGTTTTATACTTTATTGGTCTGTCCCATTTTATAGAGTTCAAAGTCCCCATATGTAGATTATACGGGCACAATAAATCTGCAAACATTTCAATCATTGAATATTCTCATGTTGTACAGTACTTTGCCAATATTCAAAGCTTCCACATTTTGCCAGTAAAGATCAGAGTTCAATGCTCTGTCTTCAAGATACAAGGACTGGGTCTGTACAGAACACATATCTGACATATCTATAAAAAATTAAAAAATGTCGGTGATGACGTCGAAGGTCTTTGCCCAAGATCTTGGGAGACTCACTGACTTACCTTCCCAGAACACTGCAGATGTTGCCCTGGCACAGACAGCGAGGTCACAAACATGGTTACACAACGTAACAAGAACACAGTTCCCATCAGGCTGCATTGTCGTCGCAAAAGGATAGATCTAGGAACAAGAGTTGCTTTCAACAATTTACGAAGCTCATGGAATGACAATCTGCCCTCACCTCATGTTGTTCCAGAGGGATCCCTTCTGCATCTGCTTCGTGAAGAATGCAGTGGGGTATTGGGGATCTGAAAAGTCTTTTCTAGAAATGTATTTAACTGAACTCATCTTTGGATCCAAGCCTTTGGCTTTGTTTGTGTGCACAATTTCTCTGAATTGACTTGCTAGGGCTACGTGAATGCACCCTCCCACAGCAGCTCTTTAAAGCAGCCACATCTTCCCTGCAGTTGTCCTCTGCTGTTAAAAGGTGATCCCATGAAAAACAAATACTTGGTTTAAGGACTCTTATTTGACTACAAACATGGGGAAATCCCTGTTATGCTTTTTGAAACTTCACCTATTCTTTGAGATGAAAAACATGGCAATCTATTGGACTATATACTCAATTAGCTTGAGTATTTCCCCTTTTCTTTACACCCTTAGCTTAAATTTTTGAACTGTTAAGTCCACAGCCTACAAATCAGTGGTGGGATTCAAATATGTGAACAGTCGGTTCTCTGTGTGGATGCCGCTTCCGGAAGTTCATTCTGGGCCTGGGCTACCGGTTCTGCCAAAGCGGTGTGAACTGGCTGAATCCCACCACTGCTACAAATTATATGTAAGTCAGGAAACGATGATTCTACAAACCGAGTTCTCAATCAGGATTGGTCCCAGCAACAAGCCTCTAGCATAGACCAAGTCCAAACTTAGAAGAACAGCAGAGATAATCCTTCATCCCACAGGGAGATACAGAACAAGGATATGGACGTAGCAAGAGGCAGTTGATCGCAATCAGACTTGGTTACCAAAGGCTGTGGATCCCCCCTATCAGATTTAACTTTATTTTTAACAAATTTAATATGAGCTGTATGTGACGTTCATCCAATCATCCAAGAAATGCAATCTCTCATCCTAAGTGCTACCCTTAAGATGTCTACTACAGGGCTTAAACATACTATACACGCTATCAAAACACCCCCACCCTAAGGATATCTTGCCGTCGTAACTATCCAAGTACAACATTTTGGAATGTCCACAACATCAGTTGTGTTTGATTCTTCCATGACAGGGGTCTTCAAACTTGGCAACTTTCAGACTTGTGGACTTCAACTCCCAGAATTCCTCAGCCAGCTGGCTGAGGAATTCTGGGAGTTGAAGTCCACAAGTCTTAAAGTTGCCAAGTTTGAAGACCTCTGTTCCACGACATAAATGTCTCCTTCTGGGTGAAAAACTAATGGTAACTTTACTAAGCCTTCAACACTCGCATGCGTGTATGCCACAAGCAAGCCATGTTTCTTTCATATCAAAATAAACCCTATAGGTAGTCCTCAACTTACAACAGTTCATTTCACTGTTAATAGTAAAATTACGTTCTGTTCCCTGTTTTTCTGGAATTTGCGATGGACAGCAGAAAACCTCGCAGCGTCTTTCATGGGGAAGCAGCGGCCTGTCTCAGGGGCCTACCTGTGCTTGTGGAGGAGGAGGACCAGCAGCCAGATGTAGCAGAGAATCACTCCACACACTTCGGTCATGGCAAAAGCCCAGGGGATCCTCGGGACGCTTTGAGGAGAGAAGAGAGAAGCGGCATTAATTTCTGGCGTGAGTCTGGGCTTCCTGAGGGAGCCTCTTGCCCCAATGGGGCTGCCCCCCCCACCCGTTTTGGCAGAAGGGGCAGGCGGTGGACTTGCACGCGGTGGAGAGCGGGAGACGGGCCTTTTCCACCCTGGCTTCTGCCCTCTGGAGCCTTGTGGCCCTGGAGGTAAGACCCACCCTGCCGGCCTCCGAAAACAGCCCCAAGGCCTGGCTCTGCTGATTGGCCTGGGGCCTCTGACAGAGGCCTTTAAAAAAAACAGACAGCCATTTGTCCGGAATGGTCAGTGGTTGGACTAGACTAGAAGACCTCCGAAGTCCCTTCTGACTCTGATGTTCTAGGTTGCAGGTGGTTAACGGGCAAGGAAGAAGATCCCACCCACCACCCCACTGAGTTCTGATTTCTAACTTATTTAAATTCTGTTCGTTTTAATAGTTAACTTCTTTGAAAGTTTTAATGTTTCTATTTTTGCTTTGATGTGATTGTGAGCCTCCCAGATTCTCCTGACAGTGAGATGGGCAGCATATAAATTTGATAAATAAACAACGTGAACCATGTCAAAGTCTTTGACTTCAGCTTAAATGGGAGACGTAAAACTGCTCAGAAACTGTTATCCCGACAATTCTATTGCACATTCTTGTGAGACAGACCGACAGAATAGTATTTCAAACACAGCACACAAAGGCAACTTGTAGTTTGCAAAGAGCATCAATCACCAGCAAGAAGCCACACAGAATTACTTTGTTTAAACGCATGCAACCACAATATAAAGCAGGGGAGTGATCTAGTTGTGGGGTACACAATCAAAAGTGCATCTTCAATTAAAGGGATACTTTGATTTATTAACTGAAAAAGGAGAGTGACGCAAGATGAGTGACAGCTGAACAACTGGAGAAAGGCAGCCAGTGGGGTTCCTTCCATTGTTCAATTGCAAATACAATAGACCAGAAAGAAGGGCGATGATGCAATGTTTTGTTGACTTGTACAAGGAGCGGTTGACTTTTTGAGGCAAGAGTCTGGGGAGAAATTGGGGAGCCCAGTTTCACAGTGGAACTGACTTTGGGCATAGGGATCCCCTTGTAGTATTATCTTTGTCTTCATAGGCAAACCCCAGTCCAGAGGGGTTGAATGAGAGTCAGTACTGACTCATGGAGTAATCGTGTTCCCCATGTGCCTATTTTTCCAAATCTGCTTCCTATGCTGTTAATCTCCCTGCCCCCCCCCATTGCTTCTTCTAGTCATTGTTTCTTCTAGAAAGCAGAAGATGTAAGGAACAGACGTCTCCACAAAATATGAAGAAGATTTAAGCCTGCCTTAATCAGATCCTTCTTCCTGCCAGCTCCCCTTTCACAAGACTCAGTCATTAACAAAAATGAATTATGACTAAGTCGGTATCTAGTAAGCAGATTTGGAAAGAGGTATCACCTGGGAAGGACCAACGGTAGAATTAAAAACTAAAGATTAAATCAAACTAATGACAGAGAAAGACAGCAGACTGAAATCCAGCTGAAGACTTAATTAATATGATACTAGCCTAACTATATCCTTGAAATCCAGCTGGAGACTTAATAGGAAATTAAAATAATTATTTCCTCTTAACGTTGCATAAACTGGAAGCGGATGCCTCCTGTGGAAATAATTCTCCAAGAATAGGAAAATCTTAAACCTTGAATAATCTTAAAATCACAAAATTTTGACCTCTCTTGTTCTGGTAAAATATATTTTTAAAAGCTTAAAAATTATCAGACTGTTGCCTCCAAACTCCAGCACCCCAGGTTTAGCATGGAACCGATAAGAACTTGATCCCTGAATTTAGGAGATTTTTACCTTTGCTTCTCTGCCCATTTGAAAATATGAACCACCAAGTTATCCAGGCAAAAAGCATAAAGCATTTATTAAAGTGGGGGGGGAGTCTTTTTACAGAACCGAAGGATACATACATTCAGTATATGTTAATAGCTCAGTAAGCAAATGACCAAACAATAAAATATGTTGATTGCGTGTGAAGTTTGAACAATAGAAAACATTGACTCTAAACATTCCACAAGTGACAAATTTATGGGTTACCTTATTTTTCCCAAGCTGGGTATGTATCTTCCTGGAAAATTGCAAGCTTACTCAAGGACTTTCAGAATACATTTTCTAATGTGTGGTTGTTGAGAAGGCCAGTTCTTGCATACCAAAAGAAATGGCCTTGGCTAAAAGGAAAACATGTTTTCTTAGAAACAGAGAGTCCTGAACTACCAAGTTGAAAGGGTGACTGTCGCCTTTTAAAATGCTAATTGTGAAGCCTAAAACTTGAGGCAACAAAACTAAGTGTGAGAAGGGTGGGAATCTGGGGCAGATCTTGACTTAAACTCAAAAAGGTTCCATTTTTAAATACGACAAAAAAAAAAAACACATCACGTTTTTTAAAATGCAACAACTAAACACCTCCCTCTTCCTACAATATCCCCAGATGTCTCACTCCTTAATGGGCTAATAATACTGAAAGTGAATCAGTTGAGAAATAGCCTATGGAATTAAAGTTTTGCGTTCCTGATGCTTCCTTTTGCTATTATTTGGAGAGAACTTTATAAAATGGGTAGGATGAAGTTATATTTTCACAGAAAGCGGAAACTGTTGTTAATGGGAGATCTAGCACAGCCTTGTGAGATACAGTAAGGAAAAAGAGAGGGATGCATGCTGTTTCTTTGCATTTATTTTGGTTCTTGAAATGTTGATTAGAGATATAAGACAAGGTTAGAGAATTCTGGGAGCAAGCATAAAAAGAGAAACGTTCAAGTTAGGACTTTTGCAGCCGGTTTGGTGTTGGTTTGGGAAGATCCTTAAAAGGGAATTGAAAAGTTAATGGGAAAACTGAAAGAATTTGGTGCATTCGGTTTTAAGATCAACAAAGAGAAAACAAAGACGTTAACAAAAGAAGTGATGAAAATGGGTTTTAAGATTCAGAAGAAAGTAAAATAGTTGGGTATCCCTATGGCAAAGATGTATGTTATTTCAAAATAATTATGTTAAGATACGGAATGAAGTTTAAAAGATATGTTAAGATGGGAAGAACTACAACTGTCACTTCTGGGGAGAATTTCTGTAATAAAAATGAATGTCCTGCCAAAAATGTTTTTGTTTCAGACAATAATTATTTTGACAATTGATGCATCATTTAAACAAAAGGATGTATCTAAATTTTTTTTGGGGGGGGGGGAGGAAGAGAGGAAACCCCAAGTTAAATATAAGATGTTAGGGGGTGCAAAGGAAAGAGGATAGTTGGGTTTACCTGATCTGAAACTGTGTTTTGCAGCTTGCTGTTTTCTTTGGACAAAAGAGTGGGGTGTTGCCGAGAAATAAAAGACCAGTGGAAGAGCAGTTCTTGAGGTTTGGGTGGTATGGATACTTGAGGCACAACAAAGTCAAGGTTAATGTGGAATTTAAAAATTGCTATGTTGGACATGCCACACTGAGAATATGGAATAGATATAAATCTAGGTTGTGCCCCAAAATATCTTTGTTGCTCTCAGCACAAGATGGGTTTTCTAGATGAGAAATAATAAGCAAACATGGCTAATTTATGATGAGATACTAGAATTTTGTCAAGGGGGATGCAAAACAAAACAAAAATGAACTTACGATTTATGGTTTTGATAATTAAACAGGATGAATTATAGAATGAAGAGAGACATGTTATAACTTTAGCGAAAGAGGTAAATTTATAATTGTATTTGTAACTGCTGTAAAGAAGATGGGAAGTCACTGTATCTTTTTTCTTTCTTTTTCTTTGTTTCCTTTCTTGTACTTTTAGCTTTCTTTTTTATTCCTTTTACTTTATATTAGCGTTTACCTTCCTTTTTAAAACTTTTAATAAAATTATATAAAACGGTTTCCCAAACATTTGTTACTGGGCAGCTATAAGATATCCATTTCTTACCGATGTTTCTTTGAAGGGGAGAAAAAAAAACCAGGGCATTTAATCTTCTACTAGAAATGTCAACTCTTCACAAGAATGAACACCTCGAGAGATTAGAGCAAGGGTCTTCAAACTTGGCCCTTTTAAGACTTGTGGACTTCCACTCCCAGAATTCCTCAGCCAGCATCGCAGCAAAGATGACAAAGTGCCCCTTCTTGTTGTACAAATTTGAAGCGTCTTTATACACTCTATAGACAATGTCTCTGGGGACATACGGTATACCAACAATGCATCATTTGGATTAGAGAATGGAGTAAAATCCTTTTGATCTTAAGGCTTAAACCAAGATTAATTATCTGATCCTATCTATCTGAGCATTATAATGGCCACAGATTCTTTTGTGGTCAACAAACATCCAGACTTGTCTTCAAAGTCTTTTGCAATCATTTTCTGGAAATCACTCATGGGAGGGGGAGGGAGCAGACAGCGTGACCTTAGCAGATTAGACGTAATCCAGCAATCACACGTCTCACGGTTACTACAGGTCATAGAGCTGGGGTGTGTCCTTTCTTGCCTTGTTTGCTTTGCAGAGGTACCCCGTGCCTGAAAGTCACACTTTTAACCTAGAATAATAAGATCTGGCACTCAATAAGTCATCTTTCTGGTATTCTTAAATGCAGAGACAGGATGAAAACAATACCTAAATTCAACGATCTGGAGGGTCACAGATGACATTCAGACTCAGCACAGCTTGTTTGTTTGTTTGTTTGTTCTCAGCTCAGACTGATAAGTGACTGGTTACTGGCCTGTGTGTGAAGGAACCCAGTGTCTGGTGACATTGAATGGGAGCGGAGAATGGCAGGGGAAAGGACCTGGCCAGCACAAAACAACAAGCACACGCTAAGAAATGGCCTTTGTTCATGGAGCTACAGGACGATCAGTTCCCGAATGAAATCAAACTGGAGAATTATATTTTTGTTTTTGTGTTGTTGTTTTTTTAAAAAAATGTAAGCACTAAAAAGCAATTATTATGAGTAAGTTAGACAGGAATCAGTCAAACCTACAGTCATTATTTTTGTTGCTGTTTGTGTTTTAAAAAAATAAACTGAACTCTGATTGAATTGTTTCGTCATGCAATAAATTTGATACATTTGGGTTTGGGTTTTTTTAGCTTTCCTGGGATGCAATAAATACCGTGTCTCCCCCAAAATAAGATCGGGTCTTATATTAATTTTTGCCCCCCAAAATGCAGCAGGGCTTATTTTCTAGTTAGGGCTTATATATTCAGAGAAATACTGACAATCTTAATTGGGGCTTATTTGGGGGGCAGAGCTTATATTATGAGCATCTGAAAAAAAAATCAGGCTAGGCGCAGAGATAGGCCACCTTGGCTCTTTTATGACTCGTGGACTTTAACTCCCAGAATTACTGAGTCAGCATAGCATAGATGACTCAGGAATTCTGGGAGTTGAAGTCCACGAGTCATAAAAGAGCCAAGGTGGCCTACCCCTGGGCTAGGGCTTATTTTCCGGTTAGGGCTTATATTCGGGGAAACACGGTACTAAGATACAGCATCCATTTCATTCAGGGTGTTAACAATTCTGCTATCACTGCTGATCAATGATATTATCGCTGCACAGGCAGTCCTCGGCATACGACGACAATGCAGCCCAAAATTTCTGTTGCTCAGTGAAACATTTATTAAGTGAGTTTGCCCCCTTTTACGACCTTACTTGCCACAGTTGTTAAGTGAATCACTGCAGTTGTTAAATTAATCAAATTGTTTTAAAGTAAATCTGACACCCCCCCCCATTGATTTGGCCGGGGTGCCAAAGGGGATCATGTGATCCCTGCCGGGACACTGAAACCGTCGAAAATACGAGCCAGTTACCAAGCATCTGAATTTTGATCATGTGCTACAGTGGTTGCAAGTGTGGAAACTGGTACTAAGTCACTTTTTTTCTGTGCCCTTGTAACTCTGAATGGTCAGTAAATGAACCGTTGTTAAGTCGAGGACTCCCTGTACTCTACGGTGAGTGAGATGGATGCTTTCTAAATTAAATATAAATAAAAATAAACACGATATTTTGTGTAGTGCTTAGGGTCAATCAACAGATTTGCATGACTTATGGAGCGAATCCAGGGAGGGTGAATTCTCACCCGTTTTAAAACTCTCCGTTGCTGGCCTTGGAACTCCTTTGCCGCAGCGGCATCTCTGGGGCAGCCTCACCAGAGCGCTCTGATGATGAAACATCAAAGTCAGGAGGTGGTTTGTTCTGTCAACAGCCGGCCTGCCTCGGATTGGAGGGGGGCTCACGGTCAGGCCGCCTCTCTAAGGACGCTCCGACTGCAGAGGCCTTCCTGGCCAGAGAGCCGGTCAAGAAGACTGCAGAACCAGCTGGCCGCCCCTCCCCATCCCCCCCCCTCCTGTTGGACAGCAACAACAAACATTGGTTTGGTTTGGGGCCGGGATTTAATTGAAGGCTCAGAACTGGATCGAGTATGATTTAGAGTTATCTGCCTCACCCCAGGCAAGTTAAAATCTTGTTTGAATTGCCCCAGAACCCATACCTCACACAAATCCGGTTTACAACACTGGAATTTATTTATTTATTAAATCTATATGCTGCCGGTTTCACTGTCAGAGGGACCTGGGTCATAGACAGTCTTAAGTCCACAAGCCTCAAAGTTGCCAGATTTGGGGACCCCCTGGCCTGGAACCTGCAGCCGGTCGTTATCTTGACAATTTGGGGCTGACGTCAGCCCCAAACTGACCTCAGTTAACCGCATCCAGCAGTTCAGATGTCTGATTCCATGGCAACAGGAATCAAGACATCCCAGCACTGATGAGGTTACCTAGCTGGGTAATGAAATGGCTGCGGGACAGGAACCACCAAGCTCAGATATGATACAAGCCGCTTTAGAAATCACATGGGCAATTCCAGATATTACAATGTGGTGGGGCTGAGCCAGTTGTTTTGCAACCTTGATCGCTTTTAAGATGTGTGGACTTCTGTTCCCAGAATTCCTCAAGCTGTACTACAAAAAGCACAGCTGCATTCGCATAAACAAACGAACAAACAAACAAGAAGATTTAGTAATTTTTCCCTTAGATTCAGGGGCCTAGAACTTATCGCACCGATGGGCTTCTCAACAGCAAGACCCTGCATTTAACTCACTCCCCTGAACTTCTATACTTATAAGAAAAGTTTGTGCATACAGTCAGCTTCCTGGGGGGAAAGGGGACGACTCAGCCCTGTCGACAAATTTATTTATTTATGAGACTTATATACTGCTTTAAGTGCAAGCACTCTCTAAGCGGTGTACACCAGTAAGCAATGTGTATATATATATATATTTACATTGCCCCCAACAATCTGGGTCCTCATTTTACCTACCCCGGAAGGATGGAAGGCTGAGTCAACCTTGAGCCGGTGAGATTTGAACCGCTGACCTGCTGAACACAGTCAGCTAAAGTGGCCTGCAGTACTGCACTCTAACTGCTGCGCCACCTCGGCTCCTTAAATAACGCCACCCACTCAGTTCTGCTCCAAACAGGCCCCTTTTGCCCTCAGCGGCCTCCTTACCTGTCCAGGAATATGTCCGGCAGTGGGGGGTAGGTCTGCATGTCGGGCACTCGTTCGTGCACGATGACCATGACGAAGGAGGTGAAGCCGAAGACAATGAAGACGTAGATGCAGCTCAGGGCCGTCTTCCAATACTCGGGGTTCAGCCTCCTGGGAGAGTGCTTGCCCTTCCCGTTGGTGTACTGATACTGCTCGGCGCTCAGCTCGGAGACCGGCTCGCAGTCATCGCAGTCCCGTTGCACGTCGCCGTTGCAAAACCACTCCCTCCCCTGGACGCAGCCGATCACGGGGGGCAGGGAGCCCAGGGGGCTCTCGCTGCTGTAGCCCAGCTCGTCCAAAAGGTCGACGTGATGCTTCTGCAGCTTGCGGATGGAGAGCATCAGCCGCTTGATGTCCCCCAGAACCTTGATTTCCAAGGGCGGGGAGCGCAAGTCGTATTCCGTCAGAGTCAAGAGCGTGATCCCATCCAGACGGTGCTTATCGCACAGAGCATCCACATACTCACAAAAGCCTTCTTCCTTCAGCCACTTGGCCACGTGTCTGGTGGACCAGCGCTGGATGCAAATGGAGCTGTTGCCTTCCATTTTCTCTCCCTGCTTAAAAAAAAAAAGGGAACGTGAAAAATATTATAACAAGAACATGCACGGGATTGTCCAGGGGTCCCCAAGCCCTGGTCTATGGACCGGCATTGCTGGGGTGTGGCATGCCACAAATCAGGACGCACAAACAAGCGAAGCCCCATCCACAGGAAGCAGGCAATACATGAAACCACGTCCTCCCTCCTGTCCATGGAAAAATCTCTCTCCAGTGCCCAAAAAGTTGGGGGCCGCTGGGATTGTCAATTTATGTAGACATAAATACACCTAGAATGTCTACAACCTCACTTTTCTATAAAATCACAAATCTGCTCCTCCTTCGTAAACTTCTTAGTAAGTTCTACTTAAAGAAGCCAACCTAGATAATCGTTTTCAAATGTAGTTTGGGACTGTCATCAGCGCAAAATTGCCAAGCCCTGCTGGCTAAGGAATTCTGGGAGTTGTAGTCCACAAAGTCTTAAAAGTTCCCAAGTTTGGAGACCCCTGCTCTAGGTAACATCGCTAGATCCGCATCCCCTGTGACACCAAAACAAAGCAGCAAACGCCTCAATCAACTTGCAGCCCAAATAATGATAAACAAGAAAAGAGACACACACCAAGGAATTATTCTCCTTTAGACCTCTTCACAAATAGTTGGCTGAAGTGTTAATTCGCCAACTGTCCTCAACTCCCAGAAAGTTCAATTAAAACTTCAATTAGAAATTCTCCAAAAGAATAGCAACAAAACAAATGCCGGAAAAGGAGGAAATAAATATTTGAAAAATATGCAGCACATTCTGGTAATAAGGGTGGCAATATTGCTAATCAAGCATCCACGAAGACGGCAAAGGTCACTAGAAAGTCCACAGTGAATATCAAAGAATGGACAGGTGGAAGGATCAAAGGAGCAAGAGAGGGAGGAAGAACGTTTTCTGAATTTTTCCAGAGGATTTAAAAAACAACAACAACCCAGCAGCGTATTTCTTTAATTTATGTTCCTCTTTTCTGTATGAACAAGTAAATTATTAAGGGCCCCAAAGAACAAATAAAACTTTGCAATTTTTGGTAGGAAAGGCATAGGACTAATGGCATTAATAACCTTACAAGACATGCAGGAGGGTTCAATTTCTTAGGCCAGCGAGCAGATTCTATTCTATTTTCTATTCTATTTTCTATTCTATTCTATTCTATTCCATATTTTCTATTCTATTCTATTCCATATTTTCTATTCTATTCTATTCTATTCTATTCTATTCTATTCTATTCTATTTTGTTGTTCTGTTCTAGGCTATAAAGAAAATCACTGGTCCCAACCTTTTAAAGCACCTGTATCTTTTAGTGGGGGGTCACTCAACATTGGGCTGCCTTAAGGAGTTACAAATATGTGCTAAGTTCACCCCTCGGTCTTGAACGGAATCCTAAGTACTGCACAGCCTACACCAGGGGTAGGCAACCTCGGCTCTTTTATGACTCATGGACTTCAACTCCCACAATTCCTGAGCTGGGAGTTGAAGTCCATGAGTCATAAAAGAGCCGAAGTTGCCTACCCCTGGCCTAGACGGTACCAGGATTATCCTTTTATTCAAACTTGCTCTCTAAATATTGTACAGGTAGTCCTTGACTTATGACCACAACTGAGCCCAAAATTTCTGAGCTCAGTGAGACATTTGTTAAATGAGTTTTGTCCCCATGTTACGACCTTCCTTGCCCCGGTTGTTAAGTGCATCACTGCCTTTATTAAGTGAGTAACGGTTCTTAAGTGAATCTGGCTTTCCCATTGACTCTGGTTGCAAAAGTGGATCACGTGACCTCGGGACACTGCGACCATCGTAAATACGAGTCTGTTGCAGAGCATCTGAATTCTGATCCCGTGATCCTGGAGGATGTTGCCACAGTTATTAAGTGTGAAAAACAGTCCTAAGATATTTCTTTCAGCGTCAAACAGTCACTAAATGAATGCTTGTTAAGTGCAGGAGAACAAGTAAGCTTCCAAGACACACATTTTCCTATCTGTGACTCAGGAAGTCCCGCCCTTAAAAGAATACAGCACTGAAACAGAGGGAAAAGACCGGAAAAATTTAAATACTCACAAATGCAAAACGCTGACCATTTTTAAAAGTACGATTGGACTCTTCTTTCTCTGTAATATGAACTTTCCATATATTCAGAATGAACGATAACATTTCCAAGGGATGCATTGAATTGCAATAAAACAATCTCTTCTCAACACGGACGGGACTGGCTCCCGTCACCTCTGACAGCAATCAAAGTTGTGCCAAGCCCACGGCAATCAACACAGGCTCCCCAGGAAAAGTTCTAAATTTGTTTTTAATCACAGAAACATACAGCCCAAATGTTGACTCCGCTGATGCTTCTTTTTATATAAAATGTCAACCAGTTCAACCCACTACGATGTTTCCTTCTCCAAAGCTCCCTGGAATTTAAGCCTTTCTTGCAGTCTTGCTTAACAACCGGCGTGTAGATCAGGTTCTGCAACCAGAAACTTGTGTGATGATAGCAAAGGGCAGGTGAATCACTAATCTGTGTATTCTATGGGATAGCAGACATCAAACATAACGCGAGAAGAGGTGAGGGCATAGGAGTAATCTCACCTGCCTCTGAGAGGTTCATATGAATATAAATATACCAAAGTGATACTATTATGTTGTGTTTCCAGGTTAAGCTCCAATATAGTCAGGCTGACCTTGATTTGGCATGGTGCAAGCCGGATTCTAAAGACAGGTTTGCACATTTTGTTTTTTTTTTGGGGGGGGGGATCAAAGCAACAAACCGTATTATATTCTCCACTGTATAATTATCTTAAATGTAAAAAAAAATAATCTCAGCACCAGCTTGAATTTTAATAATGGGTTCTATGCACCTTTACAAAAGTCGCTTGGCATTGCTTTTTTTTCCCTCCCAACTGAGCCTCTATATGTATTTAATATGGGCCAGATAATATAGGGAGGACATCCTGCACAAGTTGCCCAAGACTTGGCAACCTTGAGAATGGCTGAAGAACACAGAGGAAAGTTGTGGAGCTGCGCTGGTAGAGAGATCTAATCGGAACCAAAGAGAAGGATCAACTGTCTTTCTTGCAATAAGGAGATCCAGCAGCAAACAGGGCTGATGTTCATATCACACTAGAAATAAGACGGCTTGTGTGGGACAATGTGAGTACAAAAGGCTGGCCAGGATTTGCACTGAATTCAGATGGCACAAAGGTGAAGTTATGGGAGGCTGAATAAGAGTTTCTCCCTCTTCAAAATGTGCCCCAGAAGGCTGAAACTTCTCCTGAAACCTCAAGAGAGACAACCGTCCTAGCTGAAGGTACTTTGCAGCTACTTATAATTAGGAACTATGCCTAGTTCCTAATTATAGGAACTATGATCCACCTGAGGTATCTTCCTCTGTAAACAACACTTGGCAATCACTGAAGACTTTTGGAAAGAAATGTAAGTTCAGAAGACTTCAGAAATGTCAAACTCAGCTTTTCTCAGTGCTGCAAAAAGCTGGTTTTTCAAGCCATAGTATCACAGCTCTTTTGAAGGAACCCTAAACCTTCAAGCAAGACATTAAAAATGAATAGGTACGTTGTGCCTCTATTTTAGAAGTTTTGGCCCCTCGTTGGGTAGTTCTGCTAATTAAAGCTGTTCAACCCTTTGTGTCTTTCAAGGGAGAGAGAAAAAATACTAACACATCTACAGTGAGAGATCCAAATAGCTTCAAAAGAGACATACATACATACATATATTTGCAAGTATCCCTTGACTTACAACCAATCTGAGAAAGAGGTCTTAGGACCCAGATTCAAAGTTTCAATGGTTGGGCCTCTCCTATAGTCACATGACTGAATTCCAAATGCCCAGCAACATGGCTGCATTGGCACACCTGGAATCCTGCATCCAGTTTTGGTCACATTACAAAAAAGACGTTGAGACTTTGGAAAAGGTACGGAGAAGAGCAACTAGGATGATTAAAGGCCTGGAGACTAAAACATATGAAGAACAGTTGCAGGACTTGGGAATGGCCAGTTTAGAGAAAAGAAGGACTAGGGGGGACGTGATACCAGTGTTTCAATATTTGAGGAGCTGCCACAAAGAAGTGGGGGGTCAACTTATTTTCCAGAGCACCAGAAGGCAAGATAAGAAACAATGGATGGAAACTGACCAAAGAGAGAAGCAACCTGGGAGTTGAAGTCCACAAGTCCTAAAAGGGCCAAGTTTGAAGACCCCTCATTTAAATCAAGGCAGTGTATACAGGTATTTCTCAATTTAGCCCAAAATCTGTTGCTAAACAAACATTTGTTAAGTGAATTTTGCCCCATTTTATGTTTTGCTACCGTTATTAAATGAATCGCTGCAGTTGTTAAGTTAGTGACAAAACTGTTTAGTGAATCCAGCTTCCCTGCTGACTTTGCTTCTCCAAAAGGGGATCCCATGACCCCAGGACACTGGGCCCTCATGAATATGAGTCAGTTGCCCAATGTTTGAATTTTGATCTCGTGGATAACACCATCCACCATTTTTAGGAATAGTTCGTGTCTAGGCTGAGAACTTAAGCTGAACGTTCTTCAACTGAGGATTGCCTGTATCTGCAACCAAAAGATTAAAGCAATGTGATTTTAATAAAGAAAACATCCCTTATATAGCATCTGACCCCTCCTTTTAGGAAGAAAAAAAAGTTTAAATGTTAACCTTCAGGCGTCAACAATGCCTCGCAACTGTACTATGTGGTGCCCTATGGGAATCTGCAGAATTCATGCAACAGTCAAAACAAACAAGGGAGCACAATCTTATGAAGCCACAGACAAAAACAACAACCCTCCAAAGCTATTCACTAGCAACAGGGAGCAGAGATTCACACCTTCCTTGATTTAAAACAGCAGAGTAAAAAAACAAATCTGGGGGGCTTCCACCCATGCAGCTTTTAACTCACAGTAAAGCGAGCTGTCCTAGTCTGGCAAGGAATCTGCAACTGGAGAACAAACAACAAATAATTCAGAGTGAATTCAAACAGGTAATTGAATAGACAAGTCCTCTAAAATATGTATTGATCTTTCAAGTATTCACAGGTTTACTGCCTGGCCAATTCCAAAACAATTATCACTACTAAATATTTATTGGGCAACATTAAGTACAGTATATCAAAGTGATATAGGATCTACACAGCTCATTAAAGCCACAGTAGAAGATAGGAATCACCAACAATTTCCGTGATACTACCCAAACCTCAAATCAAATAATGAAGAGAGAAATGAAGGCCGAGAAAAGTAAATAAAAATCCAGAGGAAGTTAAAACAATTAAAGGCTTTTATCTCCCCCCCTCCCCAAGTATAAAGAGAGCTCTTACACACCATTATTTTTTGGTAGTATTTAAAGCAACATTTCCTGAGGCAATTATTCTGCTACAAAACACTTAGATCCAAATTGATCTAATGTGACTGAACAAAAATAGCATTACTACTGTATTTCTCTAGATTATTAGAGCAATATATGTGTATATTGCAAAACTTCCCTTAATAATTTCCTTTATGAACCCATCAAAAGTTCCACAGGGCAAACACTCCTCTTACTTGATACTTGAGTCAGTCAGTATTCTAACAACTTTTTAAGTAAAATTAGTCTTTTGAAACCCACATCTACAATCAAGGAACAAACTTAACCATGAAAAAAAATGGTGAAATTTCCTAACCTTGCACAAACCCACGTCCTCTATTTAAAAAAAAAAAAAAAGAGAGAGCCTTCAATCCAAAGCACATTTTAGACTTTAAAATAATAATAATAATATAAAAAAACCACATAACTTTCAGATTCTAATTTTGGTTGAAGAAATACCACAGCCAAGTAGCTTTTTGCTTAAGAGAGCAGGAAGGCTGAATAGAAAGCAACAAATCTTCTTTAACGTTTTTTTTTATCAAGTTGGCAACCTGTGGGGCTACTCAACAAGTTCAATCAGATTCCTTTTGTTGTGTTTATAAGGTGGCAACCTGTGCAGAACAAAACACTTATTGAGTTTAGCGGGGGTCTGGTTAATTCTGTATGTGCATACAGGATCTCCCCCCATGCACAGGAAAGTCCTGTTTTCCCTAGGCTCCCCCCCCCCTTTAAACACATGAATTGTCCAATACTCCCACCTGGCCTGTCTCTGGATCACTCGGGATCCCTTAGTGTACATTTTCACATATGGGGAGGCTGATCTCACCAGCCTCCCTTCACTGACCATCTGGGAGTGAATAATGCATGCCCGCCCTGCATGGCCACGATCTGTGCCAGGGCAGCTGATGGCCATTCCAAACAAAGGGCCTAACCGAGGACCTGGGGGTCAGAAACACCCCCCCCCAATAACCAGTCGAGATTAAAGTGGTGGGGAGGGAAGCCGGGGTGGTCTCTCATTCCCAGGGGAGAAGGGGGGAGTTATGCTAGGGAGGGGGGGGATGGAGGGGACGTCAGGGTCACGAGGTCCCCGCTTAGAGGGGGGGGTCTGAAAGGCTGACCCTCTCCGGGGTCTCTCAGTGGGGCGCCCAGGGGGGTCTCCGCTTGGCTTAGGCACCTCCAGAGGGCATCTAGTCTGCCCACCCTGGGCCAGCCAGACCCCCCTCTTGCCCCCCCGGGTGGAAGGAGGGGAGATGAGGAGCCGCACCCCCCCCGGATAACACCCGCCCTCCCTCCCCCCCAAGCCAGGTCGGGGGTGCCCCCTCCTGCCCCCCGGACAGGGCAGCCCCTTACCACCGCCTCCCCTCCCGGCCAGCCCTGCCGCGCTCACCCCGCTACGCAGCCTGGGCGGACGGGGCCCGCGCCGAGGGCCCTGCTCTCCCGCGCCGCCGCGCCCGCCCCATCCCACGCAGAGCCAGGAAAGGCGGCGGCGGCGGCGGGGGCGGCGGCGATGAGTCCCTCCAGCCGGTCGGGAGGGCGGGGCCACCCTCCCCGCCCCTTAGCGTGGCGGAAGGGGCGGGGTGGGCGGAGCGGAAGGGGCGGGGTCTCCTCGGCCGGAGAGGCCGCCAGGCTTCGGGCGTGGCCGCGGGGCGGGGCTTCCCTCCTGTGGAGGAGGGGAAAGGGGAGGCTCAGCCCGGAGCCGCCCCGCCCACCCAGGAGCCCCTCCCCCGCCTCCACCCCTCGCCGAGCCGAATGGGCGGGGCTGCCCTCGCCCTCCCTCCCTTCTGGCCGCCCTGACCTTTGGCCCCGGAGGGGGGAGGGGGCGGCGGCTGCTTCCCCCCCCCCGTCTCCCCCGCAGGCCGGGAGGGTCGCTTTGCCCGGCTTTCGGGAAGGGACCGGACAACCACCTATCTGGAATGGGGGTTGGACTGGATGGCCTCCAGGGTGCCTTCCAGCTCTGTCCTCCTATGATTCCGTCAGGGTCTCCTGCTTGAGCAGGGGCTGGACTAGAAGACCTCGAAGGTCCCTTCCAGCTCTATTCTGGGTGAATTGGGTATATCTCGTCCAGCAAAGAGAAGGACAGGGATGACATAATAACAGTCTTCAAACATTTAGGGGGCTGTCAGAGAGAAACAGCCGAGGTATATTTAAACCTGTTCATAAATTGTCAAGTTCCAAAATCTTGGTAATATAATATCACATTTACATCTCTAAATCTCGGCTTCCTCCCAAGAACCTGGTTCACAAGAGTATTAATCCCTAATCAATAACTACAAATGGACATGCTGAAAGCATATGAATTAATTCTGCATTCCTTCATATTCATTATAACTCCAGTGTTAAAAACATGTCAGTCAACTTTTTAATACATCCCACTGTGAAGTCCATTGCACTGGAAAATGTTTTTTGTTGAACTAGCTGAGTTTTAAAATGTTATATTGCTGACTATTAAATTTACTTTTATAATGGTGCTGAGGGTTTTTTGTACCAATGAAAATGTTGCAACTATTCTGGAAGGCTCCAAGTTTATTTATTCATTTATTTTGTATAGCGTAACAGCGTTCCCTAACCTTTCCAGCTTGGCAGCCCGGGTGCGGGTTATGTGTGTGTCATACAAGTGTAAGGTGCACACCCTCCCACAACTGGCAAGCAGAGGCACTTGAATAAAAGGCTCTTGTGCTCGCATGCAAAGCTCCATTCACGCCTGCCCGCCTGCCCCTTTCTCCCATGGCCCAGTTTCGGCTGCGGCCCAGGGGGTTGGGGAATATAGCATTAGTGCATAAAATTCACAAAAACAGCATATGAGAATATATGTAAAATATATAAAAATATATAAAACACCAGAAGAGTGAATTAGTTTAAAAATGCACAGTACGAATGATGTATAAAATTATTCGTGAGCAGTTATGGCTAAGCCTGAGGCTGGTTATCTAGGTCATTTAGCCATTGGACAGCACTGCCCTGGAGATGAAGTAGTTCATGCAGGGGTCCGAGGAACCTGACGGGGCGTTCCCTCACCATGGGATGTAAAGTTGGCCGGACGTTCCCAATCCCCAGTTGTATTTCCGATATTAGCACCTGCCGCGGCTGGCTCAGATCGGGTTGAATGCTGTCCAGTTTTCCCTTGGAAGATCAAAGCTGGAGGGGCATCGTAATGGATCACTGGGGGTGGCTGAATGGGAAGGAAATGCAGGTCACGGACAAGTTTTTTCCTGCCAGAAAGATGGTGACTCTGCAGTTATATTCTTCCAGCTGTTAGACTTTGTGCCTCCCCATGGGGAGGCAATTTTCTTTCGGGGAGCCTGCTCTTCGACTCCAGACCTTCGGTTCAACTGGACACATGATTTGTTGACGTCCAGCTCCTGTCATTGCTCCGCTTTCAAAATAACAAGTGACCTGCTCCGGAGCAGAGTGAACGAGCGAGCCTGGGTGTCAGGTTGTCAAACGACTACTTTAAATGACCATGGCTGACGAGGGCGTTTCTCTGGGCCCTGACGATCTCAAACCCCCGAACGAAGACAGCCCCAGTGTTCAAGATTTGGAGCAGCTCCTGAATACTGGCAGGTCCTCCTGTCACCACACTGATGAAGTCTGGCCTAATCTTTTCTTAGGAGATCAGTAAGTATGTTTGTCGGAGAGCATGTCTGCCTCTCTAAACAGCCCTTTTCCTATATAATTAAGGCAACCAAATAAATTGCGTCCAAGGATGACTTGATGTGATTAACTACTGTAACAGCTATGCATAGTTATATCCCTGTCTGAAAAGCCAAGGCTAGGGGCTCGTACTGGAGTCCAATGTTTTATTAAATCGTATTTTGAGCAGGTAAGTTAGATTAGCAATTGCAAAAAACACCAACTTCTTCCATGATACATGATAAGTCTCCTTTGAGTCAAGCAAATGCACTTTGATTTTTGACCAAAATTTGTCAGCACCTTTGCATGGCATGAAATTGGTGTTTACACCCGGTGAGATACTTCCCATATGAAAGATGAGTTGATTTAAATTTTAAGGGGAAGAAAGACCTAAATACCTTTTCATGACAATATCTATCTTTTCTTCAGCGTAGCAGCGCATAGCAGATTCAACTTATGGAAAATGGGGATTAGCCACGTTTTAAATGCAGCCCACGGCACTCTCTATTGCCAAGAGTCGCATGATTTTTATGGTGCAACGATTGAATACCGTGGTATACCGGCTCACGATCTTCCCAGTTTTGATATAAGCCCATATTTTTATTCTTCTGCAGAATTTATACACAAGGCTTTGACTACACCTGGAGGTATGGAAATCAGGATGGCTGGTATTAAGCTGTGACTGGGCATTCACTTGGACATTTGTTCAAGATTATATAAAAAAAATAAATCTGAATATCTGAAGTTAAGGAAGAAAGATCATCCCTTTGAGTTTTATGAATCTTCCTTGCAAATGAGTATAAAGTTTTATTGCAAGCTTAAGATGTCTACAAGAATCTGGCCAAGTGACCATGAAGGGAATGCGCGAGAGTTAAGAAAGGAATTCAAGGTGGGCTGGACTGAGATCACTTGTGGGCATGCAGGGACTGGTGACTGATAACACGCTTGATGCCTCCCTCAGGCTCAGCCTGGTCCTCTCCTACAGTTTCCTCCTTGATAATGCTTTCAAATCAAGTGGCCATGTTGCCTGGCTTCATGGCTTTCTGATGACCTTGTCATCCTGGACCTCCAAGATCTTAGTGAGCCTGTGAGAGCAGCCAGATCTTCTTCCCTCACTGGGGGTAACCCCACCATTCTCCATTCAGGCAAACTGCAGCATCTTGGATAGGCCCAGGTGACACAATTGTGAATGGATATTGAAGCACTTGCAACAGTCCAATGGGCAGGTGGTTGTGTGAATTAGCAACTCCTCTGTGGCAGCCATTTTGTGATGGCATCCATTCACATGCCCTCAAGATTAACAAACTTCCTTTGGCCAAAAGCCTTTGCTTTCCTTTGTGCTTTTTTTTTAAATGCCATATATAAAGATTATTTTTATTTTTAATTTATTTATTAATTAAATTTATATGGAACATGACGGTGGGTAGTGTACAACGTTCCTGTACAAAGAGTCAAATAGATAAGACAGTCCTTAGTTAAAGTCATTGTATACTAATTATTAAACAGAATTAGAAGTTATAAAAGCAGAGGGGGAAGAAGAAGAATAGAGGGATGTTAATAATAAGGGAGCCACTTCATGAGTTCACCTGTCTCCTGGAGTTCCCCAGGCTTAATAACCAGGTCTTGAGGGACTTTCAGAAACTCAGGATGATGAGGACCACATTATCTCGGGGCAGAGGGTGGGTGGGTGGCGAAGATTCCACAATATGGTCGCCATGGAAGAAAAGGGCCCCCATAGTACCACCATATGTAGCTCTGTAGGCGACGGGTCCTGTAACAAATCAATTCTAGTGAGATCTAGTGAGGTGGGAGAGAGGCGTCCCACAAATAACTGATCCTGTGCATGGTTGGGCTTTAAAGCTCAATAGCAGCACCTTGGATTCAATTTAGAAGCTTTATGGCTGCTCTACCATACCTGTTTGCCCCACTGCATTTTGCATCAGCTGAAGTTTCTGGACCTGAACGCCAATCTATCGCTTTTATTTCCAGGCAAAATCTTTGTCCACTGTGCTTTTGGGATAAGCAGGTCCTCCTCTTTGGTGCTGGCGTACCTCATGATCTATCATCATTTCTCGTTGGTTAAAGCAATACAGACAGTTAAAGAACATCGGTGGATCTTTCCTAATCGAGGTTTCCTGAAACAATTAATAAATCTGGACCTTCAGCTAAGAAAAAAATGAACAAAGAAAGAAATGGAATATACGTTTTTAAAAGAAGGAACATATCTTGCAGACGTTCTGTCAGTTGGCACAATATGTACCAAAATTATTCTTTTAGCTGACTTGCAGATATTGCTTCTTGTCTGGTAAAGTTTGCAATGTCTGCAAAATGTTGTATGTATTGAATTATTTATTTATTGAATTATTGAGTCTGCCCATAACGACATAGGAACAGTTTTTGCCCCCATGCCGTCACTCTGCTTAACAACTAATTCCTACACCACTGTCAAAATACTAGTAAAGCTATGATACTATGATATTCCTCATCTTTCCTATTATCTTCCTATGACTATAACTTTGCTGCTTGTATCTTACAATTTATACTGTTTTGTGGGTTTTTTTTGTACCCTAGTATGATTTATGTTGTTGGCTTAGCTAGTACTATCACTGTTGCATCTTATGATTTATGACGAAGTGTTATATATTTCACGATTTATGATGAATGTATTTTCGTGTTGTATATGATCATGATTATCACTATTACTTGTACGTACACTGAGAGCTTATGCACCGGAAACACACTTGGCCAATAAAGAATTCTATTCTATTCTATTCTATTTTGTATGTTAGTTCACAGGAAACTGATGTGGACTAATGAAAGACTTAATAAAAAGAGAAAAAAAGAGCCCTGGAAAGAAAGAAAAGGAAGGAAGGAAGGAAGGAAGGAAGGAAGGAAGGAAGGAAGGAAGGAAGGAAGGAAGGAAGGAAGGAAGGAAGGAAGGAAGGAGGGAAGGAAGGAAGGAGGGAAGGAAGGATCATTTATTTTCCCTGGTGCTGTCATGCTTCCTACTTCCAAGGGACTTCATTCAATATATTTGGAATTGCTGTTCAAGCAGTTTAATACTCCACGCACTGTTTCATGTAAAAGCAGTTATTTTGAATTCAAGTTTCCTTGACCCAAACATAATCTGACACATGTGGATAAGGCTGGGCATTTTAAATATATCCTGTCATGGCAAAACCAAATAGATTTGATTGTGAAAAGTATCCTAGCTTGAATGGCACTTTCCACGCCTGGTGTCAGCCGACGCTGAAGTCCTGGCACTGAAAGTGCTTTTTAATCTACATGTAGAAATGCTGACACAGAAATTCTTGTTCCTTCCCCAAGAATGGGGTGGTTTCACAAGCAAGGGCTCTCTATTTAGCCTTTATGTAGCAATACAGATTAAAGAGACTGCTGACAGAGACAAATTCTTTGGGTATCCAGTCACACTTGGCCAATAATTTTTTTTTTATTAATTTTTTTTTATTTTGGTTAAGCCCAATAGTTAGTCCCCTGGCAGGGAACAAAGTAATTATAGATGGCTTACCAGGATAGTTTTTAATCAAGTAACATAATACATTGTGGGAAAGGTTGAAAGCAATGCCACCATGTAGAAGGGGGGCAAAAGAAATCTTGAGTATTGTTGCGTCCTTGGCGGGAAAACAGACACGAGAAACAGCTGGAGTTCTCAGGTTCTTTTATTCAGCGTTCAGCTTACAGGAAGATGGCTTCAGCTCAGCCCAAACGCCTCACAGCCTCTTATATAGGCAACTCCCGGGTAAATGGGTTACTTTTCCCGCGCCAGCACCCGCGCATGCGCACGGCGCTGGCGACAGCCTGTCTGGTCCCGGGCAGCTTTGCACCTGCCCGGGACTGCCTGCAAACGCCCGAGCCGTTTGCAAGGCTCGGGACATAACACCCCTTTCCCCCGGGCTAAAACTACTATCAACATACAACATTTATTTTACACGACAATTTGCTCCCCAGTGTTCCCACTGTTTACTGGCTTTTGTCTTGCCAACAATGTTATGTAATCTTCTAGGTACTTAGGAGATTTCTTTGCTCTCTGTGACCTTCTTAGCTCTGGGTTACTGGCATAAGTCCCCTGACTGGAGGGAGGCATGAGCCTGTTCTCTCTACTGTGCCCTGGTGTCTTCCAAGGACTGTGCCCCGATGCCTGGCCTGCTTGCTTGCCCACCGGGCTCGTCAGGCCAGGGCTTCTGTTGCTTTGTGACCTGGTTGTCCTACCTAGCTGTAGCCCCTCAGGCCCCTTGAAGTGATAGCCACTGCTGGGCGTCTCTGTAGAACCCCCTAGGTCAGTCCAAGACCTGTCAGGAGGCTGTCTATTCCCTGAACCCCATTCTGTGTTTGGGCTCGTGTGGGTTTCTGTACTCTCCCAAAACTCAGGTGTCCCCTGATTTGTGCTAGGGGTGTTGTAGTCGGGACTTGGTTCCTCGACTAGCTCTGTGTATGTTTGACCCCCTGTAGGATTTGGGGTAAGGTCAGGCCAACCTTGGGCATTGTGTGCCAGCTCTCTTGCGGGGAATGATTTGTTGGGATGCCCCCGGGTATCCTCCGTTGCTGGAGTGCTGTGTGCTGTGTGTGGAAAGTGAGTATGCCCCCGGGGTAACTCCCTGGCTGGAGTAGGCGTGAGTGCCTGTTGTGTGGGTAAGCTCCAAGACTTCCTTTTCGGAGCAATTGCAGAATCTTGGGACGAGCCGTTTGTGGCTCCCTCAGTGGCGATGGGCAGTAGCTCTTGCCCTTCCCTTTGCTCCAAAGGGTCCCCCTCCCCCCCTGGAAAAGACCCAGGAGTTTCAGCAGAAAAGTCCCGCCTAGAGCGGAGTTGGTCGATGTGCCGACGCAGGACACGACCGTTGTCCAGGGCAACCTCGTAGGAGAGAGGACCTGTGATCCTGGACACAGAAGCGGGGACCCATGTATGACCAGGCCCGTAATTGCGAGCCCAAACCGGGGCACCCACAAGTAGTTGTCTAGGTGCCCTAGGATGTGAGGTAGATGAAGGCAGTCTGTCCGGATGCAACCGGTCAAGTCTCGTAGTAAGTTGGCGCCCCCAACGAAGTTCAGCTGGACTTCTCCCTGTAGAAGTGGACGGTGTGGTGCGATAAGAAAGGAGAAAGTCAGCCAACCTGTGATGCCAGTCCCCGTAGGTGAGTCTCTTCAAGGCGTCCTTTGCGATGCGCACCATGCGTTCAGCCATACCGTTGGTGGATGGGTGAAAAGGCGCAGATGTGGCATGACGAATCAGGTTTGCCTGTAAGAAAGCTTGGAATTCGGAGGAGGTGAATTGAGGGCCGTTGTCAGACACAATGACATCTGGCAGCCCGTGTGCAGCAAAAATCCCCCTCAGTACCTGAATAGTCTTTGCAGTGGTGGTGGACGAGACAGGCACAACCTCAAGCCATTTTGAATGGCTGTCAACAAGGACCAAGAAGAACTGGCCCTGAAAGGGCCCAGCGTAGTCAATGTGCACCCTAGACCATGGGGACTGTGTTTCCTCCCATTTATGCACAGGAGCTTGGGGCATCTCTGGGCGAGATCGTTGGCACATGTGGCATGCGTGTACCTTAGCCTCAATATCTTTATCTAAAGCAGGCCACCACAAGTGGCTGCGTGCAAGAGCCTTCATGCGAACAATGCCAGGATGACCCTCGTGGAGGGATTCTAAGACCCTAGTCCTCATTGAGGTGGGAATGACAACTCTGTTTCCCCAAAGCAAACAACCCTGAGAAAGGGACAATTCGTTCCTTTTGGACCAGAAACTCTGAAACTCAGGACTAGGGCAGTGCTCAGGCCACCCGGACAGGACCCAGGAGCGGACACGTGAAAGTGTGTGATCTGTACCTGTTTCAGCGGTAACATCCCTGGCACTAAGAGGAAGCTCGGGCAAGGCTTGGATTGATAGAATGTTGACAGCTGGCGCGGGGTCAGCTTCTACTACTGGCAGAGGCAACCTACTGAGGCCATCAGCATGGCCCATTTCTTTCCCAGGCTTGTGGAGTAATGAAAAATCATATGCAGACAAAAAATAGACCACCTAAGCATTCTAGGGGAAATGATGTGGGGAGTCTGCTTACGTGTGGTAAACAGTCCCAGCAGAGGCTTATGGTCAGTGAAGACCGTGAAATGCCTGCCATATAGAAAATCGTGGAATTTTTTAATTCCAGCAACAACAGCCAGAGCCTCCCTGTCTATCTGAGCGTAGTTGCGCTCGGCAGAAGACAGTGTTCTGGAGTAGTATGCAATAGGAACCTGAGTTCCATCAGACCTGAGGTGACTCAGGACAGCTCCAACCCCGTAGGGGGATGCATCACAAGCGATGCACACAGGGAGAGACTCGTTGAAATGTGCAAGAACACTGTTAGAAGTGAGCAAGGCCTTGACTTCTTTAAAGCAAGCCTCATGTGCTTGTGACCACAGCCACACAGCTTGTTTGTCTAGTAGCCTGTGAAGAGGCTCAGCTACACTAGCTTTATGTGGAAGAAAAGAATTGTAGAAATTCAGGAGGCCTAAGAAGGCCTGAAGTTCGGCCTTAGACTTTGGCCTGGGTGCTTCTAAAATAGCAGTTAGTTTGGATTCAGCAGGATGAATCCCAGCAGCATCAATTTTGAATCCCAGAAATTCAGTAGAAGGCACCCCAATCTTGCATTTGTCTTTTCTGAGCTTAAGGCCTGATTTCCTGAATCTTAACAGGACAGCCCTAAGCCTTTCAGCTAGAATGTGTGTGGAGTCTCCTGCAATCAAGACATCGTCAAAGTAGGGGCAGACCCCTGGTATACCTCGTAGTGTGTTTTCCATTACGCTTTGGAAAATCCCAGGAGCGACATTCACTCCAAACTGCAGCCTTTTTACCTTAAAGGCTCCCCTGTGGGTCACAATAGTCTGAGCTATGGCAGCATCATTATCAACAGGCAGCTGTTGATATGCTTGAGCTAGGTCAAGCTTTGCAAAAACACGCCCCCCCTTGAGAGAGGCCAGGATGTGACTGACCACAGGAACAGGATAGGCATGTTGCTGCAATGCCTTATTGAGTGTGCATTTGTAATCAGCACAAATGCGAATGTCCCCATTTGCCTTTAGAGGCGTGACAATGGGGGTCTCCCATGGGCTGGAATCAACAGGTTCTAGGATTCCTTGTTGGATTAGTTTGTCTAATTCAGTGTCAATCTTACTTTTTAAAGCAAAAGGGACCCTTCTTGCTTTAATCCTAATGGGAGTGACAGTGGGGTCTAGCTTTAAGGACACAGGTGGTCCTTTGAATGTGCCCAGCTGGGGGCTGAAAACATCTGCAAATTCCTTGCAGACTTCCTGTAGGTCGAGTGTTTGTAAGCTGTTGAGTCCTGTGACGTGTATCCCCAGGGCCTCAAACCAATCGAGTCCTATGAGACTCGTTCTTTCACCCCCTACTACTAACAAGTCTAGTGGACCTTCAAAACTCTTGTATTGCACGTTAAGGGTGGCCTCCCCCTTAACACACACTCTTGAGTTCTGAAAATCAGTTAATACAATATCAGAAGGCCTTAACTTGGCCTTAGTCCCACTACTGGAACAAATCTTCCTAAATGTATGCAATGAAATGATGGAAAGGGCAGACCCTGTGTCTAGTTCCATAGATAATGGAACCCCTTGTAGCTTCACGTTGAGTGACAGCTTTTTCTTCATGGGCTTGTGTGTGCCTGTCCTACAAATGTTTCTACGCGAAGCGCAAAAACCTACCCTATTCTGGCTGGGGACTCTGGTACCCTTCAGGCGTTCTTCTTGAGGTTGTGCCTTTCGTCGGCCCAGACACACAGCTGCAATGTGCCCTAGTTTGCCGCATGCCCGGCAGGTAGCGGAGCGGAACTTGCAGTCGGTTCTCCTGTGGCGACCTCCACAGCCGATGCACTTGAGCGGAGCTGAAGAGCTTTCCTTCTGATTTTCTCCCTTCGCGGGGTGTAGACGGTCGACTTCTTCGTCCGGATCCTCCTCGGAGTTTCGTCGGACGTCTTCTTGGTGCACGGACGCACCCTCTGCACTGCTTCTGATCGGCCGCATGTTCTTGACGGCGCCGCCTGCTGCTTCTTCCGCGGTGGCTTCCCTTAAAGCGTCTTGGAAGGATAATTCTTCCTTAGCGAAAAGTCTCTGTTGTAGCTCTCGATGCCTCAACCCGCACACGAATCGGTCCCTCAGTCGTTCCTCGAGGTCCTTGAACTCGCAGGGCTTGGCGGCCTTCCGTAACGCGGCGATGTACTCCTTGGCTGACTCCCCGGACCGTTGATCCCTCTGCTCGAAGGTGTGGCGCCATGAGATAACGGACACCTTGGGGTGGAAGTGGTCCTTCAGCAGCTTCTTCAGGTCTGCGTAGCTTACAGACTCTACTGGAACAGGTGCTGCAAGGTTTTCTGCGATTTCGAAGGCGTCTTGGCCGCAAGCGCAAAGCAGGGTGGCAGCCTTCAAGCTATCTTCCCTCACTTGGTTTGCCTTGAAGTAGTTCTCCATTCTGGATACGTAGGACTCCCACCGCTCTGGATGTGAGACGTCGAATTCCGCAAGCCTTCCGATTTTCGCCATCTTCGGATCTTCAGGAGACGGGTCTATCAGCCAGCCTACCCCCGAATGCGCACTGGATTGGCGGGCAGCTGCTGAGTCAACACCGTTCCTCTTCCGCCGCTCAGGACTCCTTGGGTAAGCTTACACTTTTTCCTTTCCAGGTAGTGCAAGGCATCCCACCTTCGTCGCCAGTGTTGCGTCCTTGGCGGGAAAACAGACACGAGAAACAGCTGGAGTTCTCAGGTTCTTTTATTCAGCGTTCAGCTTACAGGAAGATGGCTTCAGCTCAGCCCAAACGCCTCACAGCCTCTTATATAGGCAACTCCCGGGTAAATGGGTTACTTTTCCCGCGCCAGCACCCGCGCATGCGCACGGCGCTGGCGACAGCCTGTCTGGTCCCGGGCAGCTTTGCACCTGCCCGGGACTGCCTGCAAACGCCCGAGCCGTTTGCAAGGCTCGGGACATAACAAGTATGAATCTGGCAAGAGGGAAAAAATATATTTTGATTGATTTTCTGGATGCTATATAGTTAGTGACTGTGAGGTTTAATAGCAGCAGTTCTTTGTTGTGACTCAAGAGCTTAGACCAGGGGTGTCCAACCTCAGCAACTTTAAGAGCTGTGGACTTCAACTCCCAGAAGTCCCCAGCCAATCATGCTGGCTCTGGAATTTGCTGGCTGGAGAATTCTGGGAGCTGAAGTCCACAAGTCTTCAAGTTGCCAAGATTGAACACCCCTAGTTTACACTTTTAACGGTAGAGAAAAATATGGATTATTTCTTCCTCATGTTGCTGTTTGCTTCATTTTCCACCCAGAAGACTGGGGAGGAGATTATTATTTAATTTTTCATCTTATTAAATCCTGCCTTCCTCAACTTTGGAAGATTTTTGCTTCTGAGCTCTTACAGTTGCAGTCCAACTGAACTTATATTTATCTTTTACACTGTAACACATGTTCATTTATTTACATTTTTATTTCAAATATTTTTTGGCCGGTCCCAAGCAGACTACGAAAAAGAGCTTTAGTCACGTGGCCTTGGCTTAACTGACCCTTTCTGTGGCCACTCCTGCTGACCCATCTGCTTGTTATTACACTTGTGTTGGAATTAATGTTAATTTCCCAATTTTTCCCAAAATTCCCAGCTATATTCACTCCAATTCAATGAAGCAACTACTCATCCTGAGGGTAGCCGCTCTTGAATAAATAAGAGTTATACCACCCTGGACAATAATAATAAAATTAAAAGGAAATAACTCTGTTTCATTGCTGATGGACCTCCAGGATGGATGGAAGGAAGGAAGGAAGGAAGGAAGGAAGGAAGGAAGGAAGGAAGGAAGGAAGGAAGGAAGGAAGGAAGGAAAAGAGGAAAGATTCCAGCCACAGATTTGACTTAATTCCACCCCTGGCCCTAGGTTTTTCTAGAAAATGATCCATAATATCAAAGAATATGCTGCTATTCATTCTTTCATCTCTAACAGTTTTTTTTTTTAATTAAAAAGGAAAAAAGATGGAATAAATAGTGAGAAAGCACAAAAATTACAAGTAGGAAATAAGGCTTTTTGGTTCTCTGCCAATAAATAAATAAATAAGTGTGAGTCAGAGTAATGGCACATAAAACGCCTTATGTGGAAAACAGCCCCAGGCTGCATCATCCATCCATTATTGCTTATTGCACTACACTTTCCTCTCCCCCCACCCCTCACACTTGGACAAATAATTCTGTCCTAGAAAAAATAAATCACAAGAGGAAAAATAATGCAGTCTTACTGCTTTGTACACTGAATTATTTGCTACTGCGTCTTCTATGCCAGAGTGCACGGAGATAAATTAAGACATTTTAAGGTGTGCACCTGCTTCCCACTGTCAGATGTCAAAAAGTAACTGGCACACGCAGCAAGGTCCTGCAGTGATAGGATATCCACAAACTGTGCAACAATCACTTGGTAGCCAACTTACTTGCTACTTTGCAAATGGACACCGCCAGCTCCAGCATAGCCTCCGTGAAAGAACTGGAGTGCCTTATAGACAGCTATAGGCTGGAATTAAATGCGCTGGATGAAGTGTGGCCCAATATTTATATAGGTAACATGTAAGTATTATCTGGAAGGAAAGCATTGATTAAATGGGCTGAACGGTATTTACAGAGAAAACTGTTTTGCAATGCAAACATATTCAGTGCCTGAAGAAAACCTGTTGTTGAAGGATAAGGGCATACTCCTTAAAAGACCATTGTTTAGCTCTCTTTCAGAAGGTTGGGAAGTTGGAATTAGCTTTCAATAAAAAGCAGAAAAATCGTAATAATAAAAATCTCTCTATTTAGACTACTAGTACTAATATACAGCCAAGGAAAGGAAATCAGCACAGACAATAATTTCCCATCAGTTGCAATTGTCTCTAAAATACATCACGGGATTCAATTGAACATATTCGTTCCATTGCATGTTCTGTATGTTAAACTTGTCTGAGGTCTGTTCTCAAATTGCATTTCTGCTTTGACATTGTCTTGTTGCAATTCTCCCTTCTGTTCCTCAAGATTATTCCTGCTGCCCATTGCTGGACTCAATAACTGAGCCCACATGGAAGTATGGAAGAAGGCAACCTGAAGTGTGGGAAGGTTAAATTGTAAAAAAAAATATTAAGAATGAAAAAGAAAAATATGTATCTTGTTTGCTTGTGAAGCTCAGAAAGGAAATAGATCTCCACGAAGGGATCCTTGAATGCAGGAAACAGAAGCTGTAGTCTTTTTTTTATATAATATTTTATTAATTTTCTAATTTTACAATTAAACATTTAAAAAGCAACGTGGTGACTGGGTAATCAATAATTCAATAACATACATAAATCTTTAGCACAAATCTCAAGTTACAGCATCAAATATTTCCTCTCTTTTTCCCTTAATGTCCACTATCTCAAATTGAGCTGATATTTCTTATTGTTATCAACTAAGTAAAACCATCTTTGCTACATTTATCAATATTTTTAGCTTATAAATATCTTAATTTTGCATTCAATCCTTATATACAATCAATGTCCTGTTATTGCCTTTTCCCCCCAGGCTTTAATTTCCCCTCAATATTCAACTTAACATTCAGTATTATAATTTCCAAGCTTTAGGTGACCAGAGTTTCCCTCATCTCAACTTCTACATCTTCCCCTTTTTATAACAAAATCTAATATTCTAAATACACATCTTATCTATTTACCTATAATCTTATTCTATTTTCTAAAAGTCATCTATTTTTCACCATATTAAACCGGAAGTCTATTAATCTTATTACACATCTTAGCTATTCAATTATAATGTTACTTTATTTTTTAAACATTATCTATTTTCCAAAATGAATGGAAAAATAGAGCTGGGAAAGAGGTTGTGGAAGATGCTTACAGGAGAGTGAGTGAAAAGAAACACAGAGCACCAAAATTACATTAATGGGAGGTATGAGAAAGAATGCTTGGGGGAAAATTGGGGTGGGGGGTGGGGGAAATGCATGTAAGCGAATGATCTCTAAAACAAAATTAGAGTGAAGGAAATATATAATGTATACAGAAAAAAACAAAGTCAAAAAGAGGAAGAAAGAGTTAAAATTAAAGGGAAACTGATATAAGGCCCCAGTACAAAAGAAACAGTAACAACTGTGAATGCAAAACACGGGATGGGGAAATATTCCTTGGAAGTTTTTAGGTGGAATTCTGACTGAAAAGGCACCTGAGAAGGTAACTATGATTAAAGTTGGCAAGTACGCTTCAGCTTTATTCTGGGCAGGGAAGGAGCAAATCTGATTTTGGCTTTTTATTAGGTCATTAAGAAATAGTTTGGTACGACATAACTTTTTTTGGGGGGGATGTAAAGACAGCATGAGATAAAGTGAATTATGGAATGCTTTATGCAAATACAGTTTTGAAGGTTGATCACTCAATATGCAAGCGAGGGATACAAGATTGAAGTAAAGTTGCACAAACTCTTTGTGAACGGTCCAGGAGTGACTAAGAGTTATTTGTAATGCTCCCCTTGCGAATTGTATATTGTGTGATGCAACAAGGAAAGTTTAACCTACCAAACACCAAAATAACTATGTTTGACAGAGAAAATTGAATGAACCATTGCAATTTTTATACAGTATGAACTGCAAAAATAAACGTAGAGCAAAGGAGTAAATTTATGAGTCCTGTACAGTAATTTATACATTTATTGAAGATGGAGAAATTTAAAGGCATGCAAAATGCAATGCAAAGATTGTTAATACTATCCGGTCCGTTGGAAGGAACAAATTTTGTTGAAAGAAGGAAAAATGGATCTGTATAAAAGTCAGATTTTGGCCCATGTTGACGTGTGAAGTGAATATTGGATGTGCCAGGAAAAATATAGAAAGTATAAATATAAAAGCAACTTGAATAAAGGGGAAAATGGGAGATGATTTGGCATTCGCAGCATATTCCTCTCTCACGTTGTCCCCCCAATTTGCCTACCTGTGTCTGTGCAGGGTCACAGCACACAACAAGGAGGAGCTGTGTCAACGTGGGATCACCCACATACTGAACGCAGCGCACAATGCCTGGGGGAGCAAAGGAAATCAGACCTTCTATGGACCAGAATTCTCTTACTATGGCATAGCAGCAGAAGACTCCGTAGATTTTGACCTGAGGGCCTATTTTCATCCGGCCTCAGAATACATCCACCAAGCATTAAGAGCCCCAAAAGGTGAGTCCCCATCTTCACAGCAATGTTTCTCAAGCTTGGCAGCTTGAAGACATGTGGACTTCAACTTCCAGAATTCCCCAGCCAGCCTAACAAGGTTGAGAAACAGCGCTTTACAGAAACACCCAAGACTGAAATCTTTATTTCATGTAGAAATCTTAAGCCACATCCAGAATTTGAAGCAATAATACTTGCACCACGTTATCTCTGTAACTCCAGAAACCTATTGTCCACATAAAACTCCTTCTCAGCACTAAAATTTTTGATTAGCGGACTGAGATTCTGTACCAGGAAAGAACCAAACAAACAAACAAAAATGGTTTCAGAGATGGTGTTATTAGCCATGCCAGATGGAAATGTTGGTATGTAATGAAGCCTAACACAACAGAACAACAAAACAATAGAAGGGACTTTGGAGGTCTTCCACTCCAAACCCCTGCTCAAGGAGGAGACCCTAGACCATTTCAGACAAATGGTTGTCTAATCTCTTCTTAAAAACTTTCAGTGATGGAGCCGCCACAACTTCTGAAGGCAACTTTTATTCCACTGGTTAATTGTCCTCCCTGTCAGGAAATTTCTCCTTAGTTCTAGGCCAGGGGTTCTCAACCTTGACAATTTTAAGGCATGTGGACTTCAACTCCCAGAATTCCACAGCCAGCAATGCTGGCTGTGGAATTCTGGGAGTTGAAGTCCACATGCCTTAAAATTGTCAAGGTTGAGAAACACTGTTCTAGGCTGCTTCTCTCCTTGATTCTTGTCTTGCCTTCTGGTGCTTTAGAGAATAGCTTGACTCCCTCTTCTTTGGGACAGCCCCTCAGATATTGGAAGACTGCTATCATGTCATCCCTCGTCTTTCTCTTCATTAAACTAGACATAATCCTGCAACTGTTCTTCGTATATTTTAACCTCCAGTCCCTTCATCATCTTTGTTGCTCTTTGCATTCTTTCTAGAGCCTCAACATCTCTTTTATATCATGGAATAATATATCTCATATATTTTATAACAAGGAAAGGCTATCTTAAAGTGAAACCAATATATGTTTTTTTTAATACTGTCCTCCTCTCTCTTCCTCCTCCTTTCTTTGCAGGAAAGATCTTGGTTCATTGCATTCTAGGCAAAAGCAGATCCCCAGCGCTGGTTCTGGCTTACCTGATGATTTGCCAGAACTTGTCTCTGGCTGATGGTCTCAAGGTGCTTCTGCAGCATCGGGCAATTTCCCCAAACCGAGGATTTCTAAAACAGCTTCAAGATCTAGACCTGGAACTGCGGTACAAGAGAGCTGGGTGTCGACTTTTATGATGTGAAGAAAAGGAAGAAACAAGGACTTTTGATAAGAGATTTTTTTTTGAAAGATCCTTACAATCTTATCACCATTTCATTTTTTCCTCATGAGCAGAATTTACAAAGCTTCTATTTCAGGGGTTCTCAACCTTGGCAACTTTAAGACTTGTGGACTTCAACTCCCAGAATTCCTCAGCCAGCTTTGCTGGCTGAGGAATTCTGGGAGTTGAAGTCCACAAGTCTTAAAGTTGCCAAGGTTGAGAACCCCTGTTCTATTTCAACAGGTTGAAGAGCCCAAGAAGACTCCAGACCTCCACCAAACATTTTTCTCTGACCCACCTTTCTATCCCCACGGCAGCTCCTCAGGAGAGGATCCAGTTGGGACAGGAGGAAAACCAAACCTTCTCAATTTATGGAGGTTCTCATTCCTCCAGGTCACAGTTGTCCCGAAAGTGCTTTTTTTTCATGAGGCAACTAGACTTTCTTGGTTTTCTTTGTAGATATTTTGCTTCTCATCCCAGAAGCTTCTTCAGCTTCAACCTTCTCAATTGTTTCTCTCTACAAGTGAGATTTTTTTAAAAATCTAGAGTTTCTATCACAAAGAAGAGGGGGCCAACTTATTCTCCAGAGCACCTGAGGGCAGGACAAAAAGGTGGAAGTTCAGCAGAGGGAGATCCAACCTGGAACTAAGGAGAAACTTCCCGACAGGGAGAACAATCAATCAGTGGAACATCTTGCCTCCTGGAGTTGTGAGTGCTCCATCGCTGGACAAGGTTGGGCAATCCTTTGTCTGGAATAAGACCTGCAGGCCGTCTTCCTGGCCCTCTGATTCTATAATTCTGTATTACTTATTAATGTATGTATGCATCTCTTGAAATGTAGATTTCTAGATCCCTTTGTAATCTAGGATACGTGAAATTGGGAATTAAGTATTTCTGGATTTTCTTTTTAGGAAAACTGATTTTAAAGCTAGTAAGACTTAGAAGAAAAACAAACATTTGATCCCACTCGTGGCGTCTTCAGACGTAGCACTTCACTGATGCTCTTCAACAGTTTTT